GGCGCTCTCCGCGGTGCCTGAACGGACAGCCGTCGCCTTCCTGAGCCTTCCTCCTTCCGCCGCCATGAGCGTGGTGGATCATGTGCGGGAGATGGCGGCCGCCGGGCTCCACTCCAACGTGCGGCTCCTCAGCGGGCTCCTCCTCACCATGAGCGGCAACAACCCGTGAGTGGGGCGGGCAGGCGGGGGGGGGGAGAGAAAGAGTCGGGACTCCGTGCCTTCCCAAGAGGCTTCCGAGAGAGGCTTCCAACTTATGACGTGTCAAGGCTTTCACAAGTAGAACCCCCGTGTTCGCGGGTGGCCGGTTCCAAGTCCCCACGCGGATGCTGAAAACCGCGGATTAGAGCGAACGCTGTTTGACTCGCTACGGCTAGACCCCTAGCCTGGTCTCTGGCTCCCTCTAGTGGATTTTTCTTCTTTTCCTTTTTGTAATATTTTCACGAGTGACTCAGCTTCTTTCTCCTTGTTTGTTACCCCCACTTGCCAGTTTAAGAATCACAACAATCCTGCGGGGTAGGCTCCTTCGGAAGGGTGGATTGACCTGAAGGAACACCTATGAGTTTTTAATGTTTACTTGCTTTGAATTATTCAATTGCATTTTAATTAACATACAGTTAATTAGTTTTTATATGTATATTTAACTTAATTGTACTTTTGGTTCCTAATCTTTTTAATATTGTGAGACAGCCTATAAAACCAACCAACCAACCAATCAATGATGAAGCCTCATTTGCAGTGGGGATTTGAAAAGTACGCCCCCCCCCAAAGCCTAGATCTTCCTTTTCATCATTTAACACCAGCTTTGACAAGCAGAAAACATGTTGCGTGGCCAGTTACTGCTTGTATGAAAGTCTTCTTTTGTGTACTTTAAATAGAATGATCATAGATGGTACTTTAAGAAAAAAAATCTCTCTGCTTCCAGCCCCATTTTCACACCTGCATCTTTTAAATTTTTGTTGTGACGAGCATGCAATTTGTGCATTTAATGCAACGGACTTTTAGTGTGCTTCTGCTGCTACAGTCAATTTAGTCCGCTCCCTGAATGCAACGCATGTTTCATAAACATCTGCAGAATTGTGTGGCATGTTTTTGAAAAGTCTTATGGCAACTTTAGAGGCCGACGGGTTGTAAGTTTCTAATGAAGCCAACATTAGCCCCAAGTGATGAATTCATTGTCCGTGTCGGCCGAAACCAGGGGTGTGTTGCAGCCGGCTAAAGTTTGTTCGCTTTGTGTTTCCTGCAGTGAGCTGTTTTCCCCATCACAGAAGTATCAGCTGCTTGTGTATCACGCAGATTCTCTCTTCCACGACAAGGAATACAGAAATGCCGTCAGTAAGTATACAATGGCTTTGCAGCAGAAGAAAGCGCTGAGTAAAACGTCAAAAGTAAGGCCGTCGACGGGGAACGCAACATCTACTCCTCAGAGCCAGGTACTCGTAGTTAAAACACTGCTTAGCATCTCCTCTGTCGGCATTGGGTGGTTGGTTATCTTTGCCGGAGGAGATTTCCATTCAGATTGGTTTATAGTCTTCTTTTATTTTACAACTGTAATGGGAAATTTGAGCATTTTATCACTACACACACACCCAAGATCTGCAAAGCAGAGGCGGGTGCAAAAAATAATACAGTTGGAATTGCAGTTCGTAATCCTTCCACATTCTTGATTCCCCCATGGTTTCCCGATTCATTCAAATGTGAAACCTTTGGTTAAAAAGTTCATCTTTCTCCATGTTGCAAGAGGTGCAAAACTTTTAAGACGTCATCTCCGTTGTATTTCTAGTGCCTGCCTTCCGAAATAGAAGTGAAATACAAAATGGCCGAGTGTTATACAATGTTGAAGCAGGACAAAGATGCCATCGCTATACTTGATGGCATCCCATCCAGACAGAGAACCCCAAAAGTGAGTTATTCCTAATGAGGCGCCGAGGGGGGGGGGGCGGAGAGACAAATTTCTCAGAACCCTTTGAGATCGGGTGCATGCAAACGATAGAAATTCTCTCAAGGAATTGGTTGCAAAATGTATGCCACAAATCTCCAGCCGTTTAAATAAAACCGAAAGCAACTTGCTTAAACATTGCAAGCCCATAGGGTTGTACAGGGCTATGTGACAAACGCAAGGCCCTTAACTCACGACAGTGTGCTGGGTTATGGCAAAGCTGGCTACTTTAAACCCGTGTGCACTTCGTAGCATTTTTTTTTACAGGCAGGCATACGTCCTCGTCTTTAATTAATATAGATACTCACTGTTGTATTTGTGTGGGTTACAGATTAACATGATGCTGGCAAACTTATACAAAAAGGCCGGCCAGGAGCGTTCCTCTGTGACAAGTTACAAAGAAGTTCTGAGGCAGTGCCCGCTCGCTCTGGATGCCATCCTCGGTAACTATTTCCCCTTCCTAATTAAGATGGTCGATGAAATGCTTCCAAAGTCACACTCTTGCTTGCCAGAAAAGGTGTATACAGTAAACACGGAGGTTTGCAGCATAGGAGGTTATAGAATGTGGATTATTAATGGAGTGCACTCAGTCTGTTGCCAGCTCATGAGCAGAGACTGTGAAGGGGTTATGATGATGGCTGCATGTATTGTGCCTCAGGGCCCAGGGAGGCCGGAGCAATGCTGTTCCAATTTTCTTCCGTACCCGAGAGAGAAAGGACCATGGGTGTGGTGTTGCAGGATCCCTAGAATCCATTAGCTGCCGTTTCTACCCAATCACACAGTTTCCTCTAGGTTATTTATTTTGGCACAATTGTGATCGTCGCCTAAATGTCTCGTTTAGGTTTGTTGTCGCTCTCAGTGAAAGGTGCCGAAGTGGCCTCCATGACTATGAATGTGATCCAGAGTATCCCCAACTTGGACTGGCTTTCGGTGTGGATCAAAGCGTACGCTTTTGTGCACACGGGGGATAACACCAGAGCCATCAACACCATCTGGTAAGAATTCCTGGGCAAACCAGGAAGCTTTCTTGAAGGATGGCTTTGCCCAGTGTCCTATACTGTGTGGTGCAGAAGACTTTTTCCCTATTTGATGCAAAGCCAGATGTCGTACTGAATTTTTATTTATGTCTTTAACCGTTTTTTTGGAATTTAAATTCCGTATATTTGTCGTTCCCCCCCCCCCCCCGAGTTCAGATACAGCTTGCTTTATGTAGGAATTTTCCAGCCAGTCATCACACCGTACTGCTGTTCTTTAGGACTGGCGTGTCCATTTATACTCCTTGCATTTCAAGTTGACCTAAAACCAGTTTGCTTTTGATTTATGTTGGGAATCTTCTTGTGGCAAAACAGCTGAAAAGCTTCCCTGTGCCAAAAGATCAAGTGCAGTCAAAGCATGGCCTTCTGAGGCAAAAGAAAAGACCATCTGAGTCCATGGAACTTTAATTTTCTCTGGCTTCCTCCTGTGCTTTTGTGCCTTCCAATCTTCTATTTAGCATTCTATGGATCGATTTGCTTTGACAACAGTTGTGCTTTTGAATATACAGATTCTGTTGCACTCGCCTTCTGAGATTGAACTGTGTTTTCTTTTTGTTTTGCAAAAAAAAAGCAGAATATAAAATAAATATAAATGACAGTGTCATTAAGATTCTGAAATACGGCTTTTAAATTGCTGTCGCTTTGGTGTAGCTCTTATTTTTCAATGTTTTTCTTCTCTTGATAGTTCCCTGGAGAAAAAATCACTACTCAGAGACAACGTGGACATCCTGGGAAGCTTAGCCGATTTGTATTTCAGAGCCGGCGACAATAAAAATGCAATCCTAAAATTTGAACAAGCACAAATGTTGGATCCATATTTAATAAAAGGTGTGTTTCCATGAACTGGGAGATTTGGTGTCATCCTTTGTAGTTCTTTGTTCAATTTACAAGGCAGTTCCACCCATGCCTATTCGGAAATACATCCTGTTGAATTTGAAGGACATATGACCAACCACATATAAATAAACTGCATTTAATGCAGCCAGAAATCCCACCGGGGTTTTTAATGGTTGTTCTGTAATGACATTGAAGTTAAAATTAGTACAGACTAGGCAGCTAATTGAAATATTTTTCAGAATGGTTTCTAAATCTAAGAGAATGGATTTATCCTGTCATCTTCTTGAGCCTTAGGACAGTTGTGTTTGTCTTAGTCATATTGCTGTTTTGATTGTCAAACTCTTTCTTTTAGGAATGGATGTGTATGGTTACTTGTTAGCCCGCGAAGGTCGTCTAGAGGATGTGGAGAACCTCGGTTGCCGGCTGTTCAACATTTCTGATCAACATGCGGAGCCTTGGGTGGTATCCGGGTAACAGACCGTTCTTCGCTGTTTTTGTTATTATTATTATTATTCCAGTGAACCATCTTAAGACCAAATCTTTTCATGAGGTTGACTTTGCTCAAGGACCCATTAAGCACATCAAGCCGTTATTTGCTAATTGCTCTTCTGGTTATCTTGTGTTAAAGACTAATGGCATCGTGTCAAGCAGCAAAATACCGATTCATCTGAAATTGCTGCATCCGTTGAACCATGTGGGAACCTGCCCGAGGCTTTACGTGATAGATTCCAGGGGTCTTTGCCATTGACATGGCACCTTTTGCTGCTCTTGAAATGCTTAAGAGCTGTTGGCTCTAAAAATATCCATGCACTTCAAAACCAAACTGCTTGAGATACAATCCTGCTTCTGAGGGTTTTGTGAACAGCCACTTACAAACTTTGTTATTCTGTATTCTCAATGACACTGCTTCTGGCTGTTAACTCTTGAAAACTGGAGAAGTCCTTAAAGTCTCCCGATACAAAAGCAATTGTTAACTGAAAAAGCTGGGGTAGGCTAAAGTAGAAATAGGCTTGGGTGATTAAGTGGTTTCATCATTTTGGAGGCATTCACTGGAAAACCGGTAAGACTTCACAGTGGTAGAATCGATTATCCTAATGGCGAAAGACTTTGTGGATCTTAATAGGGGGAATGTAGTCTCTTATTCAGCAGACTATACTGTGAAAAGTAGTGACAATGGGAGGGAGAGGGTAGAAATTGGGCGTGGAGAGAAGGAACGCACCATGAAGACGGCACATAGGATGTGAAGACCATGCCCACTTCTGGCAGAGAGCCTAGGGCTTGCTCATGAAAAAGAGGGGTTGGGAGGTATGTAAAAAAAGCCTCTCCTGGGAATAGAGGGTGCTGTAATGGAGGAACTCGGAGACTGTTGTCTGAGGATGGAAGAGGCTGAGTGTATTAACTACGGTTCCCGCCTCTCCGCAGGTGCCATAGCTTCTACAGCAAGCGCTACTCCCGGGCCTTGTATTTGGGGGCCAAAGCCATTCAGCTGAACAGCAACAGCGTGCAGGCGTTGCTGCTGAAAGGCGCAGCTCTTCGCAACATGGGGAGAGTCCAGGAGGCCATCATCCACTTCCGTGAAGCCATACGGCTCGCCCCTTGCAGGCTGGACTGCTACGAAGGCAAGTGAAAGCGACAGGCGTCTTGTACGGTAGGACCCGGTATCCACGGGGGATCAGATCCAAGCCCACCACCACCACCACGGAGGCTGGAAAACACGGATTATAAGGAACACTATTTTAATAGCTAAGACTGTATTGTAGTGTTCATGGTCTCTGGCTCTCTGTAGTGGCCGGTCGTGGTAATGTCCTCTTTAGAAATACAGGTTTCTAGGATTTTTCATTTAATATTTGCAGACTGTGGATAAGTGAATCGGCAGATCCTGATCCCGTGGATAAGGGGGTCCTACTGTAATGTTAAATGTAATATGGTGGTCAGTGTGTTGATGTATGATTTGGAGAACCAGCTTTTAAGTCCCCATTGAATACGCTCCCTTGAGCTCACTGAAGAAAAAGCAGGATATGAAATAAAATTAGTCAACAACAGGGGAAATACACACTGGCAGGTTGTCTTTCTGATATACTAGGGTCCCTGAGCTTTTAAATGGATCGGCCTAGTATGCCGATTTCGTTGATCACGGCCAGGGTGAAAGGCAGCTAAACAGTCATTAATGAGAATATTGTTGACCTCTGTGACTTCTTTGCCCCTCAGGCCTCATTGAATGCTACCTGGCGTCTAACGGTCTCCGCGAAGCCACCGTGATGGCTAACAATGTGTACAAAACCCTGGGAGCCAACGCACAGACTCTGACTCTCTTGGCCACGGTTTGCCTGGAAGACCCTGTTGCTCAGGAGAAGGCCAAGACGTTGCTGGACAAAGCCCTGACCCAGCGCCCCGATTACATCAAAGCGGTGGTGAAAAAGGCCGAACTGCTCAGTAAGTCAGCTTCTTTTCCCCTCTCGGGCTGTAAGACACTTAGATTTGCCCCTCCAAACCAAGTCACTCTTCTCCAGTCTTGAAGGCGGCCATTCCTTCCCGATTCTCTTCAACCTCTAGCTATGTTTTCATGTCTAGCGTCTGTATTTTTCATTTCTGGAGCGGCCAGGCCTTTCATGTGCTTGGCTTTATTTTACAGAATAATTTGCCGTTCAACTGAAAAAGCATTTCTTTTCATACAGGAAACAATTCTTCTGATTAAGCACCCTCTTTGTCTTTCTTTAGGGGACGCGAATGCATTAATTTGCACACGAATCCATAATATTCTCCCTATAGGTGGGTGTGACCGACTCTTAACTGCTCAAGCGCAGATCAGACTCATACTCATATACACAACCCTGACATCTGCAGGGGGAAAAACTGTTTTGATAAACAACTATAAATATTTCAAGACTCCTGCTATTAAACGCCTAAGATTTCTTCAACGGCGTGGTCGCTCCACTCTAAATAGGCGTAAATCTGTGTCCGCAGGCCGAGAACAGAAATATGATGATGGCATTGCTTTGCTGAGGAACGCCCTGGCGAACCAGAGTGATTGCATTCTGCATCGAATGTTGGGGGACTTCCTTGTTGCTGTTAATGAGTATCAAGAAGCCATGGACCAGTATAGCATTGCTTTAAGGTAAACTTCTGGAAATATTGCCATAGGATGAGTTTTATGACCTGTCTTTCTCAGAAGAAGGTTGATAAGAACCTTCAAGGGCTTATGGGCCGCACCCTCTGTGTTCTCTCCTTGTGTCCCCTTCCAGTAGCTGCGGACACTTGTGGCTGTAGTCACATTGTCTCATATGTCTGCAGAAGTTTGGTATACTCCTAAAAGATTTTAAAATTCTGGTTTTGAGTCTGTTTGGTCACCCCCTGGGTTTGCTGTTGCCGACCTGTATTTAACCGAGGAAGTACAGCTAGCTAGGATATAATCTCACTGTCTAAAGAAGGTTAATTTGGAAATAGATCAGCGGACAATTGGCAGTGATCCTCATGTCTGGTCTGTTACTTTTTGAAGAAGAGGTGGATGAAATCCAGCGTCCGTTCCCCGCCTCCCCCAGTAGAGTCCTCAGAATGGCAAATCATGTCCCCAGATGTCATGACGGGCAGGGCTCACCGTCATCTAGATCACTGGTTCTTAACCTTGGGTTACTCAGGAGTTTTGGACTGCAACTGCCACAAGCCTTCACCACCAGCTGTCCTGACTGGGGTTTCTGGGAGTTGCAGTTCAAAAGCACCCGAGTAACAAAGGTTAAGAACCACTGATCTAGATGTAATTTCACCCTCCAGACCTGCTTTTGGCCAGAAAGACAAGTTCAGTTGTACCATTTTTTCTTCTGACAAATATCGTCTGCTTTTCCAGCAGCCCTGAAGCAGCCAAGTTGGGTTCAAGTGAGATTTAAGCTGTGTTATAGTGATTGAATAGGCAGGCTTACGTTGCCTGACCACTGAACTGTCTACTGCCTTATCTCTTGCATCCTGCTTTGTTCAGTGGCTGGTACTTCATCCCTGTAAAAAGTCGGAAGGTCTATGGAATTTTGCCCGCTTTAGTGCCAAACCATAAAAAGGATCCCTGTAAGAGTGTGGACTGGTTATACATAAATCACATCCATTGCGGAGTGTATAGGATTGTTCACCCTGCAGAGAGAAGCAGTGGCTCCGTAAATTGGAACAAGAGCGTGGAAATCAGAAAACTAAACCTGGAAAAGGGCATAAATCAATCTGACTTAGTCTTTCAACTGCTTCTTGGTGGGTTTTTTTGTTCTGTTCCCTCCCCCCCTTAGTTTGGATCCCAACGATCAGAAGTCGCTGGAGGGAATGCAGAAAATGGAAAAAGAGGAAAGCCCCACAGATGCTACTCAAGAGGAAGATGTGGACGACATGGAAGGGAGCGGAGAAGAGGGGGATCTCGAAGGCAGCGACAGCGAGGCCGCCCAGTGGGCGGATCAAGAGCAGTGGTTTGGCATGCAGTGACGAGACGGGCTGGGAAGTCAAGTGTGGAAAGGGTGACCCAAGAAGACATCATGCCCAGGGGAATGTGTGCTCTTGAAAGAGCCAAGCCGAGTCATATCCGAATGAATGATGGGGGAGCGTAGGTGGCAAATACCTGCCTTGTTTCTAGTTTATGGCCCTTATTAAATGTGAAGGCTGAGCAACTTGAGTGGTTCGACGGGGAGGCCTTGATATATCAAGCTGGGATTTTGAATTATTATTTCTTAAATTAGAAGCTTTAAAGCACATAAAACCATTCCTCAAACATGTGTTAATGAGGGAAATGATGTTGGAATTGTGCGGCAAGCTAATTACGCTGGATTTCCTGTGGTGGATAAAGGTAGCCTGCTCTCACATTCTTTTATGAAGGAAAGCTCTGTGCACAAAAGCCTTTACAGTGTCTTGGGATGCTTAGACTCCTCCGGAAACCTGCAGGAGTCGCGCAGAAGGCCAGGAAATTTCCTTCCAGGCTGTTTCTCTAGCCTCTTCTGCTTATGGGTAGGTCATTTCACAGGCCTGCTCGAAAGCAGAAGGATGCCACATAGAGGTGTGAAGGAGTTGAAGGAATCCCAGTGGTTTCTGCATTCGCCACGAACGCGTGCCAAAATCCCTGTGACCGATACCGGAAGAACTGAATGGGACAACGTTGAGGAGAGTAAGCCAATAAAAGGCCGTTGAAGCTGTTTCTTACCAGGTAATAGCAATCAACAATAACAAAACTCCAGAACTTCCTACATATCCTGACTATTAGAAACATACATTTTGTGTTCCACTCTGTGATTTGATGGCATCGGATGATTCCCTCAAGGCCCAGTGGAACCCTTTCTGTGAAGTGCAGTCTTCAATTTACTTTTTTTTTTAAAGTGCTGCTTTATAAAAGAACAGGCCATGTTCCTCTGTCTTTATCTACACGCTCCCTCTTAGAGTCTCTTTGGGCTCACCAAATCGGGATTTTAAAAAATAATTGTTATTCTTTTGGCATGCGAGACTAAGAGGTGGGGTGTAGAAGATTTATATATACTTGTCTTGTTGTCGGTCTGCAGGAAAGTGGAAGTGGCGGAAACTACCCTTTTCTCAGCCCAGCTAAGACGGGAGTACATTGAAAAGAGCTTAACCATCGTGCTCCCCAAGCTTCTCCCAGAACAATCGTGGATGTCGTTTTGGGATGGGGGACTGAGTTTGCTTTGTTTCTTCTACTTTTAGAAGCCAAAACAATGTACAGGTAACACAGTGATGAGATGAGAAACCACAGCAAACTTTTGTTGAACAGAACCCCCCGAAATTGCTGAAATAAACTCTGTCGTACAAGGAAGATTTGAAAATTATGGCTGAAACAAGCCTCAGTGTAAACTCACCACAGAGATGGGGGGCAAACAGTAGGTAGGGAAATAACGAATACACTGCCAGGCCATTACTACCGAGTCGCAACTAACAAAAACTAGAAGTTGTGATGGATTTCACAGGCATAAGAAGTTTCCTTTGGGAAACACAGAAACGAAGTGGCTTGTACCAGTCCAGTAGTTGAAGTTCTTGTGAATTATTAGAGCTGTAAAAAAGGACTACAAAACCTTTATGGGCTGTACAAGGCACTTAGAAACCAAGAAGAGGTTTGGTAGATTCTTGGGCACCGGGTTTTGCTTTCTCTTTGAATGAAAGAGACTCCATGCTAATTCCCAAACTGAAACGGGAAAGGGGCTGCTGGAAATACCATCTCCAGCTTCACCAAATTAGGTTTGTACAGTTCTCTCTTTCTTTGTATTGGCCCTGGAACAGAGCCCTGAAGATGCTTAATGTTGTTTTTTTAAAATAAAAATAAAAGTGACTTGCCTAAACAAATTTGTAGACGTAAGTGAATGTGAATTTCAGTTTATTTTCCTAGCTGCGATGCCATACCAACTCTTACAGTTGCTACGGGGTGAAACCGTGTGTATAAAGGAGGATAAGCGTTCTTAATGACACCACCTGAATTCAACCGCTTTTTAATAGCTATTTAATGCTCACAAGGAGGACATCTTGCAATCTCCATAAAATCCCCTGGTAACAAAGAAAGAAAACAGCCTGCTTCAATGATCCTGCAGCTTAAAATTGTGGGGGGTGGGGGGGTGGGAATAGTGAAATACCTTTCCAGGATGGACAGCCTTTGCGTCCAAAATAGAGGAAAGAGACCAGGAGGTTGATGGTCACGTCCCATCACATAGGAAAGGAGAGAGACGGGGGGGGAAAAGCTGACTCGGTAGTGGGACGATTTAAAGAGATCTTGAGGAAAGATGGACGCCTAGCGATGACAAAAAATATGTCAAACTTGAAAGAAGGTAAAAGGCAGAGTTGTCAACAGCACAACCCTGTTCCATTACTTACACTGCTGAGAATCTACTTTTGGGATAAATTTATCCCATCACACACGGTTGGCGTATCCACAGGCATGTAAGGCTTAGCCCAAGAGGTGAAGCTGCTGCCCTCTCTGAATAAACTTGCATTGCTGGTAAGGAAGTTTACATCGGCAATATTCACGTCTTCCTAACGCCTCTAGACCAGTTGCTTCCGTTGCTACTAACAATGGCTTTAATTGCTCTTTAATGCACTGCCTTAAGAGAGCCTTGGAAATTTCACTGCAGCTGAGGACAGATGTTTATATCTTGAAGTCCATCGTTTAAATTACCGCCAGCCAGCCGTTCTCCCGACAGGACGCAGCCCTGGCTTTCATGGACTTGGAAAGGAAGATCCCTCATCAGAGGAAAAGTTGATATTTTAAATTTTAAGTGTTTTTTTTTAAATGAGGCTTTAAATTGCATGCTCAAGCTACAATTGGTTTTATAAAATATTGTAATAATAGTTATAGTTGGGATGGTAACAGATGTCTGCTGATGAAAAATATACAATAAATTACCATGGCTTCCCCTGGCTGGAAATGTCAATATATATTGGGGGGGGGGGCTTTTGTATCCTCCCGAAAAATTAATCATCCCAACAGGAAACCTTTGAAGGCCACGCCATTACATATTACAGTATAGCAAAAATAACTTTTTAAAAAATAAATGCAATTGAAACCCACAAAGACCCTTAGAAATCCCAGCCTCCAAATCAACAAGCTCCTAATTTCACCCAGAAATATATATACAGTATTACACAATAGTTCTCGATTAGGCTTTTTTTCGTCTATATGACCTCCAAGTTTTTATAGTTTTTCCAAGGAAGCAAAGCCCAGAATTAATGTCCTTAAGCTCATTTCAAAATAAAATACAGTATATTGTATATAGATAGACTGGAATTCTTAAAAGAAGTTAAATAAATGAAAAGTCAGAACACAAGAAAAATGGGGAGAAAAGAGGAGACACTTCAAAGCAAGCAGAGCTGAAGGTCAAATATATGAAGTCTATAATATAAATATAGTATATATATAATATATTAAAGGAGGAAGGCCTTGAGAGGGTGAAGAAAAGAAAAGGGGGGGGGTTGAGTCTCAAAAGCCAAACTTGAGATAAAATCAAGACCTCTGAGGTAAAACACACATGGAAATACAGAAAAAGTAGTAATCGAGGCCTACCTGAGGGAAGGTCGCCTTGCACAGAGTTTGTGGTACTTTGAAAGACTTAATTTTGTTTAAAGTTTCTGTGTCCTTCATAAGAAGGTCTCCAGGGAAGAATTTGAGGAATAGCTCTTCTGCCTTTTATTGAAAATAAAAGAAGCGGAGATTTGTTCCCTCCCAGGCCGACCGCCCGGCCTCCAGATTTTGTGTTTTTTTTTCTTTTCTCTTCTCGCCTTGCACAGAGTTTGTGGTACTTTGAAAGACTTAATTTTGTTTAAAGTTTCTGTGTCCTTCATAAGAAGGTCTCCAGGGAAGAATTTGAGGAATAGCTCTTCTGCCTTTTATTGAAAATAAAAGAAGCGGAGATTTGTTCCCTCCCAGGCCGACCGCCCGGCCTCCAGATTTTGTGTTTTTTTTTCTTTTCTCTTCCTTTTCCTTTTCTTTATTTGGCCTCCCGATGGCTTTAAAAGTGGGTCAGCCCACCCAAAAGGTTCACAAAGTTTCCTTGTTTCACCTGGCCTTTCAAAAAAATAAAATAAAATCAAATACCCAACATTGAAATGCCTTCCGTTTGGCCAGAGCTGTGGTTTTAAATACCTTGCCTTTGGCTCACAACACCAAAAGGGAGTGTGATTTTTAAAAAAATGAATTTAAAAATAAAGGCCCGAGTGGTAGAAACAAGGTGAAGTGAATTAGCACCACTGACTCTTGAAATAAAATACTTTTTAAAAAAAGGAAAGCACTAGAATGCCCTGGATTGAAGGCAGGCGAAGGAGAAAGCAGACCAGCAGTTTTGCTCCTTCTTGGGAAAGCCACCCCTTGGGACTACATTTCCCATGCTGCCTGGGGACGAACCCTGGGAGTTGTGCCTCTCAGAGTGATCCAACAAAGAACCCCAACAGAACAGATATGGGGCTCCCCACATATCAGACCAGAGACTCACACACGAGTCCTCCCTGAACACTTGCTTGAAGTCTCTAAAAGCATATTACTGTATATGAATTGCCTTTGAAACATCCTTGTTCTCTCATTTAGAAGCTGAGATAGGGCTATTATTATTATTTTTTAAAGTCTGGCCCAAGGCCACCCAGGAGGCCCCAGTAGGGAATTCACTCCCAACCTCTGGCTCCACAGCCAAGGGCCTAACTCACCGAGATATCCAGCCAGCTCCACTGGAATACTATTACCTCTGGCTCCACAGCCAAGGGCCTAACTTGCTGAGATATCCAGCTAGTTCCACTGGAATACTACCTTGTTTTAAATTTATTTCACCGAGATGTAAGCCCCCTTTTCCCCAGAAAAGTTCAAATGCAAGGTATACATATAAGTCACAAAAATCCGAACAGTAATATTGGAAGGGACTCCATAGATCATCTTGTTCGAGAATACAGTACTTCCTCCCAGATGGTGACTGTTCCAGCCGATGTTATCGCTGTTCACAGGAAAACATGGTTGATTTATTCCAAAGAGTGTACTGTAAAAACACGTAAACATGGCACACAAAATCTTCCCTTCTGAAGAAGTGACAAATGCTTTCAAATATTGATAAACAATATGCCACCAAGCATAAAACTGTTGGTACACATCCTTTATAACAGGAAATACCATTTTAAAAAAACACACCATGATTTATTGGGTTTTTTTTACACATCCTTTATAACAGGAAATACCATTAAAAAAAACACCATGATTTATTGGGTTTTTTCCCCTGAGGTTGTCACAATGGAACAATTTATACTCGCAAAAGGTGTCACCTATTTATACACATCTACCCAAGCGCCCCAGTGAGGAGAGAATCCAAGAGCTGCGAGCTCTTGCATGCTGGTAAGGGAATACATTCTTGTCGACACTAAAAGGAAATGGCAACTGAAAAAAATCAGCAAACTGAAGCATGGATAATCAGAAGAAAATGCATGTGGAATAGATGTAGATTCAACGTTATATTTTAGGAAGCAGCCAAAGAGTCATGTGTACGTCAAGTAATATTTTAATGACAAGTGCCCTTATACAGAACAGGTTCAGATTCCGAAACATTTTTCAGTTTCACAAATCATTCTCTTGGCAGTTTGCTTGTTCCAATAAACCCGTGTCCTGGGTCTTCTTGTTCAGTTCTCTGGATCCTGGCTGTGCAGTCCCCCCCCCCCAAAAAAATATATATCCAACACACTACATGTTTGCCCGGGCGGCATTCTCTGGACCATATGGGTCCAGAATTCTACCTCTTTAACTCTGCTTAACGGGCAAACAATACTCATGAGAACATGATCCAGAGCAAGTTCTGCCAGAAAAGCTTGCGTGTTCCTAATAATAAATAAAAGTACCACCAGAAAACGAAGCAACGACATATTGTAGAATAAGTTTATTTTACCCGAAACCAAGATGGTAGGTGTGTGATGCTTGTCACCACCAGCATTGAATCAGACAATGTTATTTACAATTTCTTTTTTTTAAAAAAGAGTCACACATGCTGTCTGAGGAACTGACTAGGTCCGTTATTAGAAATCCCATTATTGATAAGATAGAATGCATCACAACATGTGTAGTGCACCAAAGTGTATCTACGGCCTTAGATTTAAATAAGTTACATTATTACAGTGCAAAATGAGTCTATTTGCACACTCCAAGATATTTTTTTAAAAAGCTGAAAGTTATGGAATCGGAGGTTTACAGTTTTTGTTTAAACATTCAGCAACAGTACCGTTGTCAATGGACCTGTATAAATAGAATTGCATATTGTACAGAGCTGTTTAAAGTGTTATGTTAAGGTACAATAGAGATCATCCGCTACTTACAACTGAAAAGCATGCATTACAGTCCAATATTGTACATTATATAAACTATGACATCCTACACAACGAAAGATGGAAATGAAAAAGAAAAAAAAAAGGATAAAACTTGGCCAATCATCACTCTAATTCTTGCTTAGCAGTTTAGGGACTCTTGACTTCATGCAACCTCAAAACTTCTTTAAGGAGGTCTGTTTTCAGTTAAAAACTATATTGCACATGGGTAGATCTGCATATAAACTGAAGCTTTTAAGAGCACCACACACTTCCTTCACGGAACACGAAGTTTTCAGGTCTATTTTTTTATCCCTCCCTACGGAAAGATATATATGTATATATATATATATACGTATTTTTTTTTACCCATTTACAAGACTCATGCAGATGTTTTCAGTAGATGCGTTGCTAAAGACGCATGCAAGAAAATTAACCTTACAATTCTGCAAAAATGTGTTTTAGGACTAAGTGATTTACTCCAGTTTTGCTGCAAAGAAAAAAGAGAGAGAAAGAGAAAAAAAAGGAAAACGTTAGTGGAAAAGACTGATAAAGAAGACTTAATCAAAGCAAAGACTTTTTATTTTTTAAAAGGCTCAGTAGCGACAGAAGACCATTTTAACACAGTTTGGAAACTGGCCTCTCCCATTTTCCAACAGGGAAAATATAGGTTAATTGAAAAAAAAGCATGAGAAAGAATTAAAAGCTGGAAAAACATCCCAATTAGCTGTTCTCCTAACCCATCCCCCTAGACTGGGAGTTCGTTTTGGTTTAATTTTTGCAATATAGGTAACTGCTGAATGGAGATTCTTTGATTTCCTTATAAGGTACCTGTGTCTGAAAGCAGGATGGCCCAGAATCTTTTTTTTTTTAACTACATAAACCATCTTTTATTCATGGGGAAAGAAACCACTGTCACCAAAAACTCTACAGATGCAACCAAAACCAGCTCACACCATCCATGTTCCTTACCCGTCTGTTAACATTTTGCATATGTAAAAACAGATTACAGATTAAATCACCAAAAATAATCCAGGAATTTCATATACAGTATCGACCACTTCACCACTGCTTTTAAGTTGAAGTCTTAGATCTGCACGTGTAAATTAGCCACGACCTTTCAGTGGCCACCAAGTATATTGAAAATAGTTATTTTGGGCACAGATCATGATCTTCTGGAATTTTTGACTTCCAATCTTTTAAGTTTCCCAATTCATGGTGTTTGCAGTGGAAAAAAATGAGCATAAATTACTCATCTAGAGACATCAGAGCAGCTCCCATCCTGTTCAAGACTTAATTTCCTTCAGCTACACTTGATTATTCAGGACTTCTCTCCACCCCACAAACCTTGCTAAGTTCTAGTACTGTAATTCTACCAGTATTTGATGAAGTATCTCAAAATAAAATCCCTTCAGGCTATGCAGCTCCTTTTAAAATGCAATTTTAAAAAGGACGCTTCTTGAAAGTATAAGAGCGGTAAGAAAGATACTATCCTGTTTTTTTCTCTCCCCAGGCTCCATTTACAATCTATAATACAATCCTCTTTTTTTTATTATTAGGTTTTAAAGTCAGAGATACGCTACACAAGAAGAGCAGAGCAATTCCACCCATCAAGGTCTTCCCCCCCGGAAATGGCTCTTCAGTGGAAGAACTGCACACACAATGTATTCTCAGAAGCTCACAACGAGCAGGATAAAGTGTGTTTAGCACGTGGTCCCCCCTCCCACTGTTTTGCTGATCCCTTTTCTATCATGATGGTCAACTTGTCTTTTGTAGAACTACTACTGACTCTCCCCAACCCATGGAGTTTGTTAGAAAATCTGCAGATCACGTTTATAGTCTGTGTTAATGTGTTACTTAAAAAAAAATGCAATGAGCAGAGATTAGGGAAACAATGGTTAAAGAGTGTAAGGAGTAAAAAAACGAGACAGGTGCGAGGACAGACAGCTTGGGTTGTTTCCCCTATACCTCACCCATACGGAAAGGTCCCCCATTTTCCTCCTTTCGTTCATCATTCTACATCTTTCATCGGTTGTATCTTTAGAAGACATGAGGAGGAGACTGCTGTACTGCATTTTATCACCACAGAATTACAGAGGTCCTCACCTCACCAACCCCTTCCACTCCTGGATTTATCGGGCATTTAATTGTATGAAAGCACAGCTCAAAAACACCGGAGAGTCTTCAAAAAGCTTTGCATCACCAGTGAAGGCGCCCCCCCCTCGAGGCCTCTTAAAAAGACTAGCAAGTTTTGTTTCCCGTCAGCTTCCATAAAATTCTGCCTGCCTAAAAAAAATTCCTGCTTTTATAAATTTGTGACCGCAAGCTCTCCTTAGATCAACCACCCAGAAGTTTTTTTTTAAGTTCACAAAAATAAATGTATTTCCTATAGAGTGCTGTATTTTCTCCAATATTTTATCCTAAATCTCTCCCTAAACCTTCCCTAATCTCCGTTTGCACTTGCAGAAACATTGGACTCCGTATCAGGCCATCTTATTGACTCAAGAAGTTTCATCATCCTGCACTATATGTATGCATTTTCCTCAGGGACATAAGTTACAACCCGGTAACAATGAGTAGCCCCTGCAAGCATCCTTAATTAGTTAGCCTATCATGCCACAAACACTTACATTTATTGGTCTCTCTCTTCAGTCCAGGGGACCCGAAAGGGGAGCACCAGAGAGTGAGGAAGGCCAGTGTGTGGCTGAAGCGGTCCTTGAGGAGAACAGACGTGAAGGGGCTTTTCCACCACACAGGGGAAGGCTGGCTCGTTAATCCCAGAACTATCCACTCCCTATTAGCAGCAGCTCCTGTAAAGAATCTTATCTTCATAAAATCCCATGAAAACTATTAGCACTCAAGAGTATACGCGATGCTTTGGGGCTGCTGAGTTATGGAGGAGCAAAGAAGCGCAGCCAGCAGTAGACTAGAAGGAAAACCGCACACAAGTTTTCACAGGACTTTAGAAAGATAGTGGGTGCCTCTCTATAAAAGGGATTATAATCTAAAATATTGTTTTAAAAAAATCAGTTATATAAGTGTCATCAGTATCAAGTATGCTGAAGTGGTGCATCTTGAGAGTGAACGTGATTTTTTTGGGGGGGGGATATTTTGAGCCTCTCAACACCCTGCCTCCCACGCAGTTTATGTTCTAAAGATTTAAGTTAGAAAAAGTAGGGGGGCAGAAGACGCCCTGGGTTTTATGCTACAGTAAATAGTATGTAAAGAGTGGTGATAATAATGTAGCACAGCAGAATATCTGACAAAACGCAGCATGAAATGAAGGAAAAATTAGCATTTATTTTTCACATGTATACAGCATATGCTATCTTTTATCTTTATTATTATTATTTATTAATTTTTTTACATAGCACATCACCACTGAAATGGTGAAATGGAAGAGATACTCACTTCAGTCGATGAATGTTGGAAGGCATTGGAGAGAAACACCATACAATTAGGACTGTTAATGAACTTACACACCGTTGGTACAGGACTCAATTTGGGAAGGGGGGAAAACACGACACCATGCACTAACATTTATCGCAAGAGAATGATGGTGGTTAGTGCCACATTAAAAATAAAAATAATTCTATACAATATGTTCATTTGGTCATGTGGTATTTACAGATTTTACAAAAACATACACACACACACAAACATACACATACAATTTGTTACTTCTCCACTTCAGGACTCGATGTGGCCAGCAAATTATATATCCCAAGGTGTGGCCCTGATTGTTAAGAGGCCTAACCGAAAAACCCAGTGAGAACTTTGGGTGTGCAAGACATGAGGGTTTGTTTCATTCCTGGTCCCGTTACAATTTTTATAAAAAAGGAACACAAAAAAATCTGACACACAGCACTGAATCATTAAAACAGAACCATTAGCTTCCTAGGGTATAAATGAAATGAAAAAAACCCAGGATATTCTCAATTTTTTAAAAAAATGTTTTATTGTTTACTTTCGTGCCTTATTTTCTAGTCCATCTAGGTATTCCTCTCCCTTTTCCGCCCTCCGAAAGTGGGCAACGCTGGTGAAAACAATGATGTCACAATAAAAAAAGAGATATTTAAATAAATAGTTTTCTTTCTTTAAAAAAAAACACGCTATGTGTCCGGGGAGGATTTTGGGGGTGGGAACTAATAGGTTGCCCCTGGAATGGCGTTTTCTGCACCAGCCAGAATAGACATAGCTCTTGCAAAGACAGATGTAAAAAAGACTTTAGGTCAGAATTTAAAAATATTGGGAAGGAGAAAGCAAAAAGAGGAAAAGAGGAGAGGCAGCCGTATAATCTGCCTAGTGCAGAAAAAAAAAACCCCAACAGAATGGCCAATTAAGAGTAGACAGCCATGCAAAAGACAAAAACAGTTGCATGCTTTTAGTTTAAGGTGGGGGGAAAACAACAACAACATCCACACATGAACATTCATTCCCTAAAATCTGCTACCAATTACAATTTGCTCAATCGATAGTGTCCACGGCCACTCTCCCCCCACAAAACACTTTCTGGGTTGGTTGGTTTTGATTTTTTTTTTTGCTTTTTTTGTTTTTACAAGGATGAATTGACTATGAAACAGAACACTGTACATGCTTCTCTTCTACAAAAAATATTTGCATAAAATAGTGTTAATTTCTCTGTACATGGTCAATGGACACTCTAGTTGTGTATAAAAGAGGGGGAGGGAATACTACTTCCCCGCTGGAGTCGGGGGGGAGGTGGGGGGGAGGAGGAAAGAGGGAAAACCCCCAAAAGTCTAGAATGGGGAGCTTCAGTCAGCGGCAAATATGTTCATGTGAAAATTCAGCAGAATAAGACAATTGCTTCAAACCATTTAAAAAAAAACTGATTTAAGTTAAACATCTCTCTGTCAAGACTATCCTCTTCCCCAGGTCAAGACCAGAACATGTCACTAAAGTTAGTGTCTGTGCTGTACAGCCAGATAAGCAAAGGTAAGGTAATGAGGACAAATGGCCAAGAAATCCCTTCGGTGCATGCGGACAAGGAACGTGGTTTGGTGGCAGGCGGCACACTGTCTTTACCCGGTTCTAGGTAGTTACGGGCCACAAACTTAAGTGTCTCGTCCAGCAGGATGACGGGCAGCGAGATTTTCAAGACCATCAGCCACTGGGTCAGATTCAGAGGGGTGATTTGGAAGATCAGCTGGGAAAGAAAAAGGAGAAAGAGGATTACAATGGAGGCCTTTGGGCTGGGCTGGGATGAGAGGGAGGCAAGAGCCACGTGGAGGGAGAGGGGAAGGGCTGGGCTGGGCTGGGCTGGGCTGGGCTGAGAGGGAGGCAAGAGCCATGTGGAGGGAGAGGGGAAAGGTGGAGGGAAAGAAGAGGGGGCTTTTTCTGTCTTTGGTTGAGAGAGCAAGCCCTGGGCACGGCCAATGTGAACTTACTGGCAGTGGCTCCACGTAAAGGATGAGGAAATGAAGAGACATGGACAAGCAAATGGAGCCCAGGAGCCAGACGTTCTCCCAGGGAGGCATCCGTAGCAACGACTGGTTCTCTGACAGGCTGAAAGCAAGAGGAAGAGACGGAATGCGTGTGTACAGATTCACATATTTCTGGCTCATCACAGAAACATCTTTGTGAATGTGTTTATTTAGACCATGCTTAAAAATCCCTTAAACTCCGTTAAAAACATCCCGGACTCAGGCTGCTAGAAGCCAGCAGGAGTTCTTTGCTTACGAGGAACACAGGCAGAATTCACATTCCTGCATTGGTGTTTTATGAAAGCGACGGAAGTCAGTTTAAAAACCCTTCAGCTTTCCAGTTCAAACTGGACAGGTAACACCCTTACCTGTTGAGGGCATTACACATCTCTATTGTGACCAAGACAGAGAGTGCCATTGTCATAGGATATGGGGACTCAAAGACCACACAGTCAACACCGTCAAACTCTGGATTCTCATCTTTACACTGCAAGAAATGGCTCTGCAGAACATTTAAAAAATAGATATGTTAGGATAACACACTACATCCCTGTTCCTTTTTTTCCTTCCAAAAAGCTCATTAGAATATACTTTTGTGCAACTGAAATTTTTTTAAAAAGAGAGCCCAGTTATAAAGTTACAAAGACTGAGGCCTTTTCAACCACTTAAGCTTCCCCCATCTGACTTTTACTGTTAAGCACGGATTAGTTTAATGTGTAAAAAGATCATGCCTCAGATAAATTCTGGTGCTCTTTTAATAAAACATTTGAAACTTCTATATTTTGCATAAGCACTAAAGTTAGGCAGGCTGTGCTCTGAAAAGGTGCAAGCTTCTCTTCTCAAAAGAAAAAGAAAACCAGTTAAAAATGTTTCTGGAGTTCAGATAGCTAGAAGGAAATAATACCAGCTGGTAGAAAGTAATTCTTGGGCCACCATCAGCAGCAATAAACCACCAGGCAGCGGCTCCCACCGTAGCAGCTCCAACATAGCCTGAAATGGGGAGGGGGAAAAAAGGGGGGGTGGGAGTTAGTTCTCTTGAGGCTGAATACCAAAAGCCGGCAGAGAGAGAGAGCAGCTCTGTTCTACGGAGCCCAGGGGAACCAACACTCACATCCGATTGCCAAGTAACGGAAGAACAGCCACCCAGAAATCAAGGGCTCTTTAGGATTGCGAGGCGGCTTGTTCATGATGTCCAGGTCGGGAGGGTTGAAGCCCAGAGCAGTGGCAGGGAGTCCATCCGTCACCAGATTCACCCACAATAGTTGGACGGGGATTAAAGCTTCGGGGAATCCCAGAGCAGCAGTCAGGAAGATGCTATTAAAACAGGAAAAGGGAAGAGGGGAAAACCCACAAGCGAGAACAGTCATATCAAGGCCGGTTTTAATAGGTATAAAATGCTTACAACTTGTAGCTCAAATGAGGCAGTAAGGGGGACGTGTTATCTCCTATGGCCGAAAAATATTCTCCCTCTCACAACAGTGTTCTTCTTAAAGAGTTCTGTGCTTCAGCAATCAGACCTGTCATACAAAGCCCATCCTTCCCTTCTAATATTCCAATAACGGTAACAAAAGTTAAGTGCAAGGTATGTGGCTGAAGATGACCATGGGCCACAAGAGATGCTTTTCATCACTTAAGAGGTCATCTCTTTTAAATCTGTACCACCAACTGATCCTCAGGGTTGCATGGGAGAAAACCAAACTAGTCTATGGAAGTTTAGAATCAAGCAGATCCAAAAGCCAAAGGCTCCTGATCCTGTTATCAGACACCTGAGGTCACCTTGCAAAAACTGCTACTGAGGAGGAACACTTGAGAGACACGTTTGCAGGCAGGAGAGTAGAGGCAGTTGCCTTTATCCTGACAAGCTCCTAGGAACCTAGAAATATACAGGAGGCTATCTATGACCTATTCCTTTATTACAGAATGCAGGAGAGGTCATCTTGGAGAGTAGTTTACCATCTTTCAAAGCCCACAGGTTTGGGTGCCCTATATTTCTGGTGAGCCACCTGCCCTCACCGCCCCAGAGGCTGAGATTGAGTGGCCTATTTCCCCAACATTTCTGGAGAGGAGGGGCCAAGGCAGGAGAACACCTACCAGACCACCTCTCCGACGTTGGAGGAGATGAGGTAGCGGATGAACTGCTTCATGTTGTTGTAGATGGCCCGGCCTTCTTCCACAGCAGCGACGATGGTGGAGAAGTTGTCGTCGGCCAGCACCATTTCTGAAGCGGTCTTGGCCACCGCCGTGCCCGAGCCCATGGCAATTCCAATCTCGGCTTTCTTCAGGGCTGGGGCATCATTGACACCATCGCCGGTCTGCGACAACGTTGCAAAACTGGCATCAGTACAGGCCCACTGGGCCCACTGGGTCAGGGTGGAGCGGGCTTCCCTAGCTTCACGTTGGGGGCTGGGCAGAGTTGCTTACTGGGCAGAAAAGGTAACTCTAGGAGAAGCTTACTTTAATCTCAGCATTAAGGCCCAGAAAAGTACAGATGGCTTCAAAACCAAATCCACCCTATCTACGCTTGGTTAACGGAGTGACCATTTTTTAAAAGGGATTTTACATGCATTGTAACCCATACAGGATCTTCCTGTTGGCAAACCCTACCCCTTGACATGGCTTGGGCTTCTGTAAGGACAACCCCCTCCTTCCAGATCCTAACCTGTCTCTACTCAGAAAGGTGCCATCATCAACACACTTACCATTGCTGTGATCTCATCAAAAGACTGGAGAAACTCAACGATCTTAGACTTATGAGAAGGCTCCACGCGGGCAAAGCAGCGGGCGTTGAGGCAGGCATCCCTCTGGGCAGCTGGGGAGAGTTCGTCAAACTCACGTCCGGTAAAGGCCTTGGTGGTGACATCCTCGTCTTCCCCAAAGATGCCAATGCGGCGACAGATGGCCACCGCCGTCCCCTTGTTGTCCCCCGTGATCATAATCACACGGATGCCAGCTTGCCGGCACAGCTTGATGGACGACGCCACTTCGATTCTTGGGGGGTCCAGCATCCCCACGCAGCCAATGAAGGTCAAATTGGTCTGGAACGAAAAACACCCATCCGTTCAAAGTTTTTACCAAATCACAGCTTAAAAAATGCATTTGCAAGTTGCTAAACAGAAGGGCAAATGGATAACTTAATACCAGAGATGGCAACGAACCAGTTCTCGCCAGTTTGTTTCATGGACAAACAGGTGTTCGGTGCCCCCCCCCCAGCCTCGCTTCCTCTGGTGGGCACCCACTCAGAGGAAGCATCCCAGTGGGCACAGCTTTTGAGTGGGCACCCACCAGAAGAGCCGGGGCTTGGAAGTGCCAAACACTTATTCAACCAGTGCAATTCGCCAAACCAGCAGTTTAGGCCCACCTCTACTTTATACTTTGCAATTATACCTCATAGGTAATAAAGTTTGCAGAATCCTCCAGCTTCATGTCTTCCCTTCTCGGCGGATTGTCGTGCGTCGCCAGAGCCAGGCAGCGCAGGGTGTCTCTGCCGGTCCCCCACTCTCGAATGACGCTCATGATCTTCTGCTTCACTCCTGGTGTCAGCGGCATTTTAGCACCTCCAACCCGGACATGCGTACATCTGTCAATGACGCCCTCGGGAGCACCCTGCGGGAGGCACATGAACCCTTGAAAAACCAGAGCGGCCCTTTGCCTTCACACCAAAGAAGCATGAATATGTATTTGGCAAAGATGCATCCATGCAAAGGAAAAAATAAAAAATAAGGAAGACAAAACGTTGTGGCACCTGCTATAGTTTAACATGGGCTTTCCTAGACAAGTCCACAACCTGAGTTTTACTTGTCCACGAAAGCTCACCTTAGAATATAGCAGTTAGTCTTTAAGGTGCCACAAAGTTTTTATCTTCTTTATTTTTCTTTTGATTTTGTATTCAATGGCAGCAGAGACTAACACGGCTACCTTTTCTAAAACCACGTCCACCTTTGCAACATCAACTTGCTCACTGCGAGAGAAGGAATATTATTAAGCGCACAGAGGTGGGGGTGGCATGACTCCACGGAAAGATTGTTTGAGAGCCACGCTACCCACGCTATGCTCCCACAAACCTGACTTGCCTTAACAAACATCTTGGTCATGGCGGTCCGGCTGGGTTTGTTGGGAGTGCAGTATACCGACATGGACTTCCTGTCCCTTGAGAATTCAAGGGTGAACTCTTTTCTCATGAGTTGCTTGATCACCTGCAAAACAGAAGGAGGGAAGAACGGAGAGAAGTCGGAATGGCGTTGCAATGAACTCGCTTGCGCCAAGCTGTCTGTTGAGCAACATTCGTGCGGTACTGACCGAATTGCACGCATTTGCCCTTTCAATCCTGGTCAGCCCTTTGAGTTCTGTGTCAAACACGTTCATCTTCTCTACCAGACAAGTCAGGGCGGTCTCTGTGGCTTCACCAACCTTTTCATACACTCCTTTGGCCTTTAAATAGAAACAGTTATCAGCGCAATAAATATATATATTTATCACAGACTTAAAGCTCAGAGCAGTCTTCTTGACAAAACAAACTTGGTTTTAAGATTTCAAACAAGACCAATTTTAATCCAAATTTGTCAATAAAAGCAAAGTTTTTTAAAAAGCTGATTTCAGCCAGCAGTTTTTAGTTTTTCCCTTTTAAATAATTCCATTTGGTGATACTGCAGCTACACTTGAAATAATTACATATGATTTTTTTTTGCAATTATAGTATACCACTTTCAACATAACATTTGGCAAAGGGTGATAAAAATTAGTAATGAAATAAAACGTTATTTTGGGTAACAGCTTCTCCTTTGAACAAACAGTTCTGGCATGTACAAAGGAAGAGGGGATGGGTAGGAGATAACCTGACAGTGTTATGGCTACAGGAAACCGAGAACATACATTCTACTGCCTGAGCTGCTTCCTTGATTTCAAAAGATTGACTTACTTCGTTGAAATCCAGAGAAGAATCATTGCAAAGTGCACAGATCGTTGCTAATTCTATAAGCCCATCGAACTGACAGCATTTGACAAGCTTGTCATCTTTATATCTGTCAAGAGAAAAATGGGAAGTAAGACTTTCATTCCAGAGTCTTGTGAAGAACCAGCCTTTACCCGGTGACTAATCCAACCCATCTTCTTTCTTGAAACTGTTCATATGAAAAAAAAAATCCAGAAAGCACATAACTGACAGACTTGGACTGCATGGGCTCCACCAATGTAAATGGCCACAGAGCTTGCTTTTTTTATTATTTTGTTCGGGGAGCATCTTTATATGCCAGATAAAATTTTAAGAGGCAGAGAGAGACTCAAAATGCCCACAAAATCCACAATTACAAGCAGATTCACCGGTCTTTGCAACAGGTCCAATTTATTCTCTCTCTTATCCTAGTTTTCCTTCCTGCTGAAATTTAAAAAAATTGTGAAGTAAGAGTGCTCCAGTTTTCAAGGTGGTAAAGTGACTTCACCAGTCTCTCCCAGGAGAATTTTGCCTTAAGGCAAACTAGACTAACAAAGGCCCCCACAGCAGCCATTCGCCAAACCTCTCTTGCCTAAAGAACTAAGAATCTGACACATTTAGCATTTCTTCCAACTGAGAGTTTCATCTAAATGTCTCATTAAACACTCCCTCTTATCTCCTCTTCCTAAAGAGCTCCATGTAAACAAAGCCATCAACTAGGGAACAGTGACAGATGTTATGCCTTTTTCAATTATCTACTCATATTAACAATCTGTACCACTCTTACCACGAGAAGGCACCATATTCAGGCATATGTGCATCTATTTCATTACACAGGAGAAAACGTAGCACACAAAGTGACTAAGGCCTAAGAGAGTCCAGACAAACGACATGCATGCTCTACAAGTTAACAGCAATTAACTCCAAACAAACTGGCCAAATCAAGGTTCAAAGGACATGGAAGAGACACTATTCGGGGATAAAGCTCTCACTCCGAAGCAGAGAGGCAGGTTGCATTTTCAGTGGTCAATACGAGATCACAGTAAACAGAGAGCCTTCGTCAGACAGGTCACTTTCTTCCCCTCTTCAGTTCAGACCAAATAAACAATAATTTGTCTTTTAAAAGGCTTGAGGAATCCTTAGCCACATTGGCCCACACCTCCCATCGGCCCCACTAAGCGCAGGCCAACCATACAGGACTGTGGGAGTTAACGGTCTGAAAACTCTGGAGGTCCACTTAAGCTTTCTGGACAATATTGTTTCTTCCAAAACGTAACTCCTCGGACATACCACACTGTAAATTTGCATATCAAAAGTCATCAGGACCACTTGCCAGCAGATAACTTTCTTTCAGGCGGGCCTATGCTAGGCCTCAGTGCCACCCTGCATGTAGACAGACCTGCAAGGGGGTGCACCGGGAAACAGTGAGTAAGGATAAAGCTCTTACACTTCTCCTATGGGAGCATACGTTGAGCCGGACACAGTAAATTCATGGAGGAAGCAGCTGTCCCCTTCCACTCGGTCCAGAACGAACATCTGTTAAGATAGATAAGGTGCAAATTACAGTAAGCGAACCAAAGTCATTGAAGTAGGATCCATATAAATTATGAAGGCTGATGCTTTCTCTCTCACAACAAAAATTGAGTTAAATGCCATTATGGAAGAAGAAACATACTTCTGGGTACATAGTGGTTTATTAACCCATGCCTGAGAGGCTCTATCCAGCAGGTGGAGAATGTCTTCTGAACCAGAGAGACTCTTGCCCATGAGAATGTGACGATACACTCGTTAACGTTTTAGCACCAAAGGAGTGAGTGCTACTTTACAGAACCTATGGGAACAGTGTGAGCCCCTAGGATGGAGGGTAAGGGATGGTACAAAATTAACAGGATGAGACAGGGGAGAGGCGAAAGACAAGGTACGCTTCTGCTGATGAAGTGAGTCTTGAAGAAAAGAAGACTCATCTTCAACAGAAACATGCTGCAGTCTTAAAGCGGGAGGAGGAGCTGGAAGAAAAGGCAACAGCTGAAGTCCTGTTGTGCAGTTATGTCAATGGCACAATTTTTAGAGGTAAATTGCCATACATTTAAGGAATCTCCACAGATCTTATCTCTTGCATCCCAAGCTGCACAACTCAGCATGCAACAGATCATGTCTTCAGAATTTTTTTTAACCATATTTGCTTTTTTTAAACTGATGTTTGCTTCCAAGAATTATGCTCTTGACATTACTGCGTAACAGGGTTTCAGCCAGAGCATACCAATAATGGATGAACTACATAGCATGCACACATTCCCGAGAACTGAACTCCAGTCCTCGAGGACGGACACTGCCATCCCATCATCGGATAGTTCTTCCCAAAGGCCTTCAATACAAAGTCTGATACTCTTTTTAAGACTGTACAGTTCTCAAGAATTCCTCTGTATGTGTCACACCAACTTGGACCGGCTACAGTTTGGCAAAAAGACCACACTGCAGAAGAAACAGGACCTCCTGAGATTACTTCTGCAAAATCATCCTGAAGGGACGACACCCTTGCTCTTTATACAGGCAACTGCTGCTTTGCTCCTTATATCTGCTACAGCTTTATCCCAAGAAGTCTTTTTCTGATGGACCCGAGAGTAAAAGATAAACAAACATGTCAAGGCCATGATATACAATATTAGAGAAACGTTTCTAAAAAGAATTAAGGGTACAAGACTACACTGCAAAAAGTTGATTTTAGAAGGAGAAAGACCTGGATATTTCTATATAGAGGAACCTTTGTGCTTTTTTTTTTTTTTTTGCATCTACCTCCTTAAGAGACAGGCAGTTATGCAATACCCCTGCAAGGAACTTCCTCTGGAATACAGATGAGCCTCAGCTTTGTGTCCCACAAGCAGATACTATACAGCAGTAACATTCTGGCGAAGACTAAGGAGCAATGCCAATAGGTAAACAACACATTCAAAGAGGAGGACACCAGTATTGGTTAAAAAAAAACACCAGAAAACATGGAGGACATAAGAAGTGTCCCACAACTATGTTGCTGTTGACTGATCCGAAATTCTACCGTGTCCCGGTAATTCTAGATGCAATTATTCACGGCCACGAAGGACAGAGAGACTCCAACACAATTAGTAATCCAATAACATAAGCATGCCTTAAATTTGAGCTACGGATCTCACTTTGTCCTTCTATTTACGTGCCTGCTCGGAATGCTAAGCACAAGCGAGGCAGAACAGGCTGTAGAATAAAAAAAGCTGCGCCCTTGCTGGAGAGAAAACAATACCCAGCTTAATTTGCATTCAAGACAGCTTTCTTGAGGCGCATACATACACAAAGGCACAGACAGAGCGTTTCCCCTACTCAGAATGAAGCCGTTCGGCTCAAATGCAACCTCAGAAATCTAGAGATCCTCTTGGGCATGAGCAAAGCCGGGCGCTCTTACCAGGGCAGCCTCTCAGTATCTAACGCTTGCCAAGTATTGTTCCTATGCAAGTGGAGATCTCCTTTAAAACCTCTGGTTTACAACTATAGTAAGTAGTCCTAGCTGTGACTATGGTCGTCCCATTAACTGTTTGGCCAGAGGATCCTGCCCTTAGACCCCGACTCGTTTATTTAATATTAAAAGGAAAAGTTAAGATTTTAAGTACAGGACAGTTAGATCTAATTCAGCCATAGTCTGGTAAAGACAATCTGACCGCCATTCTGATACAGAACACTGAAGTTGGAAAGGCCTGGGACAGAAGCAACATTCGAGCAACCAGCTAGGGAAGTTTCTGAAACTAAGAAATGTTGGCTCGTTTTACCATTTCTTCCCTAAAGGCACATTTATTCCCCCCCTCCGGCAAGCTGACAGGGCTAGTCAGTGAGTGATGAGGGAGAAGTCATTCTAAAGGCTCCCTATCTGTCCAAACGGAGTCCAAAAGCTGAAACAAGGGTTTCTAGGAGAAAGCACTGCTAAGCTCTGCTTCATAACAAGCCTGTAATTTGATTCACTCAGGACTGAGCAGAAGTCCAGATTCATACAAAAGGAGGCATTCTCTTCCTAATTAAGCATAATTATTAGCTTTCCTGCAAATCAGACCTCTGCTGATAAAGCAGGCTCTACTGACGGGGATGAACTGAGAGCCTCGCTGGCCCAGAGATGCACCTCCTTTCCGAGACGGCCTTCAGCAAAAATTGAAAGAGACAGGACGACTGAACCAACCGTACCCTGCAAACTGACATCTGGTTGGTGGTGAGGGTGCCAGTTTTGTCCGAGCAAATGACCGAAGTGCAGCCCAAGGTTTCCACGGACGGCAGGCTCCGGACAATCGCGTTCTTCTTGGCCATTCGCCGCGTCCCCAGCGCCAAACAGGTGGTAATGACAGCAGGGAGACCCTCCGGGATGGCCGCCACGGCCAACGCCACGGCGATTTTGAAGTAGTAGATGGCGCCCCGAATCCAGGAGCCGCCGTGGACAGGGTCGTTGAAGTGACCGATATTGATTATCCACACGGCGATGCAGATAAGCGAGATGACCTTGGACAGCTGCTCCCCAAACTCATCCAGCTTCTGCTGAAGCGGGGTCCTCTCTTGCTCGGTAGCCACCATCTCGTCACGGATTTTCCCTATTTCGGTGTTGACTCCGGTCGCCACGACGACCCCCATGGCTTTGCCTGCCGCGATGTTTGTGCCCTACATCAAGGAATTGAAATGGGACGTGAAGAACGGCTCAATAAAATCTCCAACACAGGTCAACAGATGACGAGTGCTTTTCAGGCACTGTATTTTATCACAGTATTATATTTCAACTCTAAAGGTTGCCATGTCATTTTAGAGCCACAGGACCAACATATGTGTAATCTGTATAGCTCTCATTAGCCATCTGGAAGTGACTCTGGATTTCATTTTGATCTTTAGAAAGGTTTTTAATACACCAAGTCTGTCGTAAGGTATGCATCTCCCTTTAGAAAACATTCATGGGGAAAGTGCTTCCCAATATGGCAAGCTACCATTAATCCTAATTCTGTTTATCCTCTCACCTATTCATGGAGAGATTACTCCTATTTCTGAGAGGGAAACACTGAAACCAAGAAGTTAAAAGTTTTCTTTTGCAAAAGAAAATAACAACCTAGGAAAAGAGTTGGCGTTGCACAGCAACCTCCCCCCGCTTTCAGAATCAGTATGTGCAAACAGAATACAATCTTTCAAGATCTACTACTCACAGAAAACAGCATGTTCTTCTTGTCTTGGTTCACTGCACGAGGATCAGGCACTGGATCCGTGTGCTTTATTACTGACACAGATTCACCTAGAGGAAGGGTTACACTTTTAAGTAAGTCATTAAGCCTCTCTCCACCTCCACCACCTCCACCACATCATTTCCCACCTTCTGAAGACCTGTATAAACCATTATGTCAAAATACAGCCTACACAGAATTTGCATCCCAACAGGACAGCCAAAAGGCAGAGAAAAAACCCACAAATGTGTACATCACTAGGCTCCTCTGAATTTGAGGAGGGCAAGCGATACCAGCATCATGAGGTCTAAATTAATTTGCATTTATTTGTTTATATGCCACCTTTCACTCCAGACCCAAGGAGGCACACAACAATTAAAACCATACAACACAAATAAGTTAAAAAAAACTTGACAAAGCCATATATTAAAAAAACAAATGTTGATCAAGATTAAAAAACATTATTAAAATATTTTTTTAATCTATGTTTCATAAATGGAGCATTCCCTAAGCCTAATTGCTTAAAAGTCTGCCCTGATGGGTGTTGGGACCTTCTTCTGCCTGTTTGTCTTCAGAATTTCTGGACAAGAAGAGTTAAGAATTTACATCTGACCTAAATTCTACAAAGCAAGCATATTACTCTCACCTCTAAAATGTCAAATAAAACCCTAACTGGGCCAAAATAAAAGAGTCTCCTCTCCAGTATTCCTCTTAACAATAAGATCTCTTGCTGAGAAGTGAACAGCTGAAAAGCTGATTAAAAATAAGAAGTCAAGGGAGTACATATAACAAAACAGAGGAAGCTACCCAACACCTAGTTAGGTAATGCCAGGTTACCTACATCTCTCACAGAAAAAAAAGAAAAACGATTTATTTATTCATTCACTTATTTTAATAAGCAGGAAGGGAACTGAGAACTGGAATTGAAATGAACAAGAGGGATAAGCTGAGGAGTAAGTCAAATAAACAGTTGAAGGAAGATAAGGATATACAAATAAGAGTTCAGAAAAACCAGTAGCTGCCATCATAATAATGTCCATTCTGATCTAAGACAGAAGGAGAAGGCACAGCCTCTGTGTAAAGACAGAATTTGTAGAGCATGTGACCACTACCTATCTTGGACAGCCATGGAAGATAATGCTAGAGGACTCATTCCCAAAAGACAGAATCATTTCCTCTCCCGGTTGCCACTCAAAAATATTCAAGATAGAAATATTACAATTTTAGAAGCAATATTGACAGTTAACCAACACGGCTAAACCAGGAAGACTGAAAGCCTCCAATTTCCAATATATACTTGTAAAATACAGACAGATCCTTCATTCCAAGATTGGAACAAGAGGCTCCAGCTCATTCTAACTTCAGGAAGCCCATATGCTAAATTATATTACAGCTGGAATAAAGCCAAGAACAATGCCAAGACGTTATAAAAGCTTCCAGTGGAAAAAGTACAAGGTGCACCCAATGCATGAGATTTCTCTAATTCACAAAGACTGAACGTTGAAGTTTGGTTAAAATATCGGAGTCAGGATCCTTTTGTGCAAATACAGCAAGTTAAGATGAATCATGCAAGCAGCCACACGTGGCAGGGAGCCCTTCTCTGGACAGCCAAGTCATCCTCTGGTTGCAAAAGCAGAAGCACCACCGGTTGTAGAACTATGAAAAAGACAGCTGCCAAAAGAGGATAAAAACACTGTGCAATCTGGCCTTCTGAAGATGCTGTTTTTTTCTGAATGGGATTCTGGCCTGGGATGCTGTTGCAATCGAGACAAGATTTCCAGCTTGTTCCGAAAACTAGCAAAGGCAACAAGAAAACTCTCCAAGAATCACTTACCTGTGAGGATTGACTGGTCTACTCTTAGAGTTGTAGATTTTATAGAAGTAATTCTTATGTCAGCAGGAACTTTGTCACCAACTGTGGATTAGAAAGAAGACCACACGTGTTTTACTAACATCAGCAAATGTAAAGTGTTTTTACATGTATACGTAAGGAACAAACAACACTATCATTTACATCGTCTGAAATCTCTCTCTCTTAAGAAATGAAGCTGCTTAAGTGTTTTTACATGTATACGTAAGGAACAACACTATCATTTACATAGTCTGAAATCTCTCTCTTAAGAAATGAAGCTGCTCTTTTATTTTTCAGAGTTTCCACAATCTTGTACAGAAGCGTATCAGTTGACAGGCTGAAAATGAAACTAGATGATTTTAATACTGTGCATATTCTAAGAGATCATACATGTATGCACACACATGTATATACTGCATTTCCTATTACTTCTCCATCAGCTATGGTAGTGTAATTGTAACAATTCAAGAGATCACACAATTTGTTCTACACATTCAAAAGACAATTTGATCTCTTCAACCATGGCACACTTTTCTTATGCTACATCTGAAGCCACTTTTGAACCTGAGGATGTTTCAATAACAGTTCATACTATGGCATAAGATATTCAGGACTGGTGGAAAAATAAAATATTTAAAGATCTCACCAGAATCATCTGAGTAACATGGCTGTTGGACAGGCAGCTGCAGGGGACAATTTATTGCCATCTGCTGACAGTTCATCCCACAAATGCTTCTAAGGTAGCACATGTGTCAGTTTCTAAAGGGAAAATTTACACTAAAACCATTTTTCCCCAACTGTAGTCATAACAGGAAAGTAAAAGCATATCAAAGGCCCAAGAAGGAGGTATTTAAAATGCTAGCATTATCCAGTTAATAAATTACTGATCCTGTCAGAAAGAATATACTTGTTAAGATGTGGTCCCTCTAGTTTTACTGTAGGGATACACAGAACAGAAGTCTAATCCCTACAGGAACTGCTTATGCAACTGGTAGCAATCATGGATGCAGAGAAAAGCATGTGGCTGTGAGTAAAGCTAGAAGGACCTGCAACCTTATGTGTTGGGTTGTGGAAACAGGAACATTTACTACAGGACTAAGCACATAAGTGGCTTCAGACGCGCTTGGAAAATGGTAGATTTTTGTGCCATTTTTCATAAGGCTACATTTCAATGCCACTTAGGCACAACTGTTGGATTGAAACAAGCTATATCCTATTTAACCATTCTCTCTTTAGAATAAAGTGTCCAACAAGGCAGCTATGTTTATTTTATTTATATACTGTATTGACATAAGGCAACCCCCCCCAAACATTGCTCCTTTCAGCTCAATTCTTGCACACGAAAGCCAATCTTAAGCTCACTGTGCCCCTTCCGTACTGAAGAGAAAATAGTACAAGAGAAACAATGACCAAGCCCAAAAATGGGCAAACTATTTGAACGTATTCCCCAGATGTCGTGGGGAGGTTTCTATGCAGATACACGATAGCAGCTGTTTCCCTCCTATCACAGTTCCCCCAAACAGGAGGGGGCTCAGGCTTCAGACACAATGAGAAGAAAAATCTATCAATCCATCCAGAAGGACACACATGGTTGCGGGATTTTCAACAGCTGAGCATCTCAAATGCACCAGCACACTTGACAATGGAATATTTAAAGACTGGATCCTCTTCACTGAGATTATGTATAGACCAGCCTAGTAATGCTATATACAGTTTGGCTACTACCAGACAGATCGCTTGCTTCACACATGCCAACCAAATGCCAGCACAGCCTGTAGAAGAAAAATCCTATCGTGACAAGGCTTGAAGGTTTGTTATCAACTCTTCAGATGAAGGCTGACAAACAGTGAAACGTCCCGGGAAGAACAAAGTTAATTTGCTTAGCAAGGCCCCTTGTATATCAGCAAACCTCCTAGTACAAAATGTATAAGTTTATTCTAATAAATAACTGCCAATTGTTTTAAGGCAGCAAAAATGGCAGCTTAGCCACATTTCATTGTTCTGAGGTTTGCAGAACAATCCAAAGTGAACGTTCAGGCGGGACACAAAGACGCAGCAAATGTTCTAAAGCCAAAATTCAGTCCTAGGTTTGACATGCTTGTAACCCTTGTGGCAGAATATTTTGCTTCACCATTTCCTTCGGTTTGCAGCCTTCCTTCCGAACATTTCTCTCTTTCTTGCAACGTCTACATGCTTCTTTTTCATGGCCATTAAGGAGTTCCAGATCTCAAAGAATCCAATATGAAAACCTTATTTTGCTTTCACTCCATCATTCCAGATTAACAACACATTCTTCCATTTCCAATACTGACTTCCTAAGTCCAATTATCCTTTTCATTTCTCTTTTATCTAGAGATAAATGGGTCTCAAGAGGCAAAGTCTGAGGCTCCTAATCTTTGCCACGGTCACTCATAAGGTCAGATGAACGTTGACCAAACAAAAGTCCTACGGGGAAAGTAAAGTTGTATTTCCTCTCCAACATACCCCTTCAAATGCTCAGAAAACACACAGGCTAGCAACTTCCACACAGACCCTGGCCAGACTCCAGCACATTCTTATCCAAGCTTACTTTAGGACTATGACATCAGAGGTGCTCAAAAGCAATACATTGGGAGAGATCCATTAGTGAATGGGTTTGAAACGGCTGAGTGTACAGCTACCTAGTATAAATCACTCTGACTGATTCCCATAGCAGTGCTTTAACATTAGCGAACACCCTACCCCCTCTTATAAACACAGGCTGGCTTCTTCCAATAAAGATAATTATGACTATTTGAATAGGGCAGTACACTGATTTGTTGAAAATAATGGGAAGACTTTAATTACAGCAACAGCTCAATGTGTGGGTTTTAGCAAGCACAAGGAACCAAGATTCAACAAGCAGCATTAAGAGCACAGTCAACATAACCAGGGGCAGAAACGGAGCCTCTGGGCTCCAGAGCCCAGAAGACTATCGACATCAAAGGAAATTCTGGCAAGCCTCCTGAGTGAAACAAACAATATCCAGTAATTATCACTGTTAGAGTACTGCCTGTATTCAGGTAAGGAGAAGAGTAAACTGTGGCATTTCTGCAGAGCCTCCAATGACCTCAGCAACAAAGATTTCTACACCTTATTTAACAAACCAGTGCTCACAGCAAATTATCTTGATGTTCAAGCATTTTGTTCCGTATCTTTTTGTTCCAGTCATAAATGTCCCTGAGAGCGTCTACTACTCCTCTATATCAAGAGTGCTAGAAGACAAGCATTCCGTGAATCCAAAGCATGGAGAAAGTGCACGCTTTATACTTCCCGAGCCTTACAGTTCAGTAACTCACAAGGGGGAGAATCCCACCAGACCCAGAAAGAGGTCAAATTCGACAATCCTTTTATAAACACTTAAATAACTGTCCCTGTCCTAGTTTGAACCCCAGTCCATTGTACTGGCATGAAACAGGATTAATCCTTTTGTGTTTGGACTCCCTTAATAGGACTTCTCCCATAGTCCAGTAAAAAAATAACTCTGTTAAAAGCTACAGTGAACAATGATAAATATTCAACAAACATCAGTATATTTTACATATTTCTTACATACTACTTTATCTATGCTCTTCATGGAAGTGGGAAGAGCAGGCAGACACTGAAAGCAGTTCAGTGTTTATAAACATCTTCACCATAATATTGGAACAATGATGTGAAAGTAGAATACAGCGGATATTAGTGTTCAATTTCACCTTTAGAGAAGAAAACAGGGGACTCTTCCAGACATCCCTATGTGGAAATTAGCGGTCTAGGAATCAACTGCACTCATAACCAACCCAACTAATGAGCAAGCCTAATATGAAAGGAACCGACAATACAGGAGTTCAGAATTAAAAATGGCATGAGGTTCAAGAAGAAAGTTGGGGCTCCATTAAGCAAAGAACAAAGTAACTCATATGTATCAATGAAGTATCCACACAGTCTTTTCAGAGCAATCATTTAGCATTCAGAACCAAAAAAGAAGGTGTGTTTCCAACAGTTTTGAGGTGTTTCTAACAAAACTTTAAAATGAGCAGCCCCTGTAAAAACAACACAGCTATCAATTATTTGATTTTATCTTTTTTTTTTCCCAATGAAAATCAGCATCAGATCAGCAAAGCAGAAAGGCATCTGAGGACACAATCTGGATACATTTTATTAGTCACCTCTAGGTTACTAAGCTACCTTCAGTTCAGTTTGTTAAAGATCAGCTTGGGGCGGTGAAAAGACATGCAGCCTCTGTAGGGCAGTGAGTGATCTTAAGGATGTATTCCCCCAAACTACTGTTTTCTATCCTTCAGAATAAGTTCCCTGTTGATAGCTGATCTACTGGCAAGACATCAGTTGCATAATAAGGAAGGAGGGTTCACCAAACTGATATCCTTTAGACCCAGGCCACCTGGCCAAAGATCAGGAGGGATGATCTGACTCCCAAAGCATGTGCAGGGCACTAGGTAGACCCAGGCCACCTGGCCAAAGATCAGGGATGATCCAACTCCCAAAGCATGTGCAGGGCACTAGATTGGAGACTGTCTAAAGCCTCCCACCTAGCAAACCATTTCCTTAGCACATGACACCGACTAGCGCAGATTCAGCTTCCTCCAGTCCTGAACTGTCAGTCAGCCATCGTCCTAGATAAACTTGACCATTATTGCTTCCATAGTTAAGACTTCCTATCCTGATCTCCAGGTTCTCTTTCGCTTCCTTTATAGCTGATGCACAAGCATAATGTGTTTTTTTCCTTCAGCGGTCCCAAAACATTTTTAATAGCCAGAGCAAGCTTTTTATAACCTCTGTGCTTTAAATGAAATAGAAATGTACAAGACTGAAATTGCCAACTTCCTCAGCAACTGACAGCAGCAACAGTTGTTTTACACAAACCAGTGAGAAGATAACCGTCCTCCAGCCACATCCCAGACCAACCTCAGTCTGGGAACAACCTCCGAGGAAGCCTTCCTCCCATGTCCTCGCCGTCTGCTAAGGACAGAGATCCACAACGCAATAACACTCGGAGGATTCCTGTCTGCCCACCTCTTGTGCAGCAGACATGATCGTTCGCCAGCCCATCGAGTCACCTCCGACTCATAGCCACCTCGTGAATGAGCCATCCCCAACATGCCCTGTCCTCAACGGCCTTGCTCAGCTCTTGCAAACTCAAATCAGTGGCTTTCCTTTAGGGAGTCGGCCTGCCTCGTATTTGGTCTTCCTCTTCAAAGTCTTCAACCTTTCCCAGTATCATTTTCCAGGGAATCCTGCCTTCTCATGATGTGCCCAAAGTCGGACAGCCTTGGCTTCAACATTTTTTGTCTCCGGAGATCATTGAGGCTTGATCTGATCTAGGACGCAAAGGTTTCTCTTTCTGGCAGCCGAGGCTATTTCAGCCTCAGATAGGGAGGTGCTTCAAGTGAGCATGCATAGAGACTCACCATGTTTACAGAACGCATCACCGTTTGCTTGTACTGCATCATCCCTTGCGGCTCCAGCTGCCAGCCACCCCCCATCCCAACCAGTTCTCCCTCCAGGCGGCGGGTCCTCTTTGTTAATGGGCCCTACCGGAGCTTGGCTGCTCTCCTCCTCTGGCAGTGGCCACTGTCTTTTTTTGTAAATAGTATCTACTATACTCTCTCTAGAAGACAACAGTGCAAAGTCTCCATCAAGTATTTCTTGGCAAAGAGCAATATTCTTTGAAAGGAACAACCTACACACACCTTGAGGTTATAAGTTTCTGGGTAACTCTCTCATACTACAAAACAGTCATTATCAATCCATACTTTACATATTCTGGAAGCTGGGTGTTCATTTAAAGCTGGTACATAACTTCCTGCAGAGATAAGAAAAAAATTTTATCTGCATTTAGGATCTAGTTCCCTTCTGACAAATGGGATGCTTATTTTAGGGCCAGTGACTGTGCAGAAATGCTTCATTGGCTGGAAAACCCACACATAAGTTCTCATGATCATTCTGCGCCACTGACAAGTGAGAGATAAGTGTCACCTGGTTATTTTACGCCAGTCAACGGAGGGGCGCACTTGTCTGCCTATGCAAATGTCACTGGCATGCTGCCTAGAATTCCATGCCCAGATACGCATCCCCATGTTGCTTCCCTACATGGTCCTCTTTTCGCAGGCACCATGTCAAAGGCCATCCAATATGCTCAGACTTATGACAGAGGCATGCATACCGTTTCTCTCACCTCCAGGCCTTGACACTAGCTAGGGAACAGAGCGTATGTGCTCTGCCGCCAACCCTAAAATTTTAGCCACGTTACAGTCACCGACTGTGAACTACCTAGAGATGAACAGCACTGATGACACAGAAGCACTGAAGTTCTGAAAGCTCAGCCTTCTTTAAGACCAGGGATAGCACTGTTGCAACTATGGAAATTGCAAAATCTCAGCTGAAGTGTCCAATGCTCAGCACAAGAATCAGGCACGCCGTATTTAGGTCAGCGCCAGGGTTGTTGAAGATATTAATTTGAACCAGACAGATAAATCACACACATGACTGCTTTATAAATTCAATTATCTATCACTGCAGTTTGAGTTTACATGCCTACAGATCCAAATACTAATCTCCAAATACTGAAACAAATATTAAGACAAGCTGCAATAAAGCATATCTGATTCAACGTGGCATCTGAAACAAATTACAAGCACCCTCACAAATTAAACCTCAGCAGCAAGGTCTTCATAACAGCTGTACTACAAAACAAATCAGGATATCAAGACCTGATGGGAAACTGCGACCTTGAGACCCAAGAAGAAGAACATTAAAGGGAGATGCACCTGGGCCCCAACCATCCGTCAAAAAACACAAACAGCCACCTCCTCATTCTTCTGCATCCCTTTTTTGGTACTGTCTGAGCCACTGAGTAGACATTCATTGTGTTGAAAAGAGAATTTAGGAATGAAAGCTGTTATTTACTCTCTATTGACGCATTACAGATCCCTACAATACTGTACAATTAAACCTTCCGTTCACCACGCAGCCCAAAGATTCTCTGACACTGAACTAGAATGCGCAACACATTTTCAGTTGGAATGGGAGCTAAAACTGATGAACAAAATGCCTTAACGTTTTTTGAAAAGTGACGATGGTAACGTCAAATAATTTGTTCCCATGCATTTATATACCTGTTGGCCAAGCTGCTCAAAGCAGTTCCTAATTTTAAAATACTAAAACAACCAATACCCTCAAAAATAAATAAATAAATAAATGAACCTAGTTCTCCAGCTACTGAGAGTTCTCAAAGAGACAGCTCATGCCAAGAATCTCAAGTCTGGGCTCCTTCACCACAACCTTCCCTAAAAGCGTATAACTATTAAGCAGCCACAAAGAATATAGCGGAGGAGCTGCCCCAACAATAGTTTCAAGGTAGGTCCTTTCAGTAGCTTGATGATGCAAACCCCCTGATCTCACCGTCCTCAGTTTTAATAAGAGGACCTGGAGCTTATTAAATACATACAGCTCTCCGTTCACTTCAGCTATTACGTAAACCGACAATCTGTGTAGCTAGATGCCTCTAGCAGAGAAAGCCCTTGCCTTCTTTCTCATTTTGCTACGGCAGATCTGCATGACTTCCTCTTCTTGGATGGCACCATGAAAATCATCTTAAGGGTAAGAAGATAACACACCCTCTCCCTCAATCCATACTAGCAAGGTGTTAAACTTGTAAACCCCAGGACTAGCGTGGAGTGAAGCCATGTCTGCATCCTGAAAAGAGCAGAAGCGTTAACACCAGGGTCGTCAGGCCATAAGGCCATCCCATCTAACAAAAAAGTCTAGCATCTGCGAAACAGATCTTTACCTCCTCTTCGACTTCAGTTTTAGGGGTACAAAGAAACCAAAAGGGGACAAGCTAGATCCTTTACAGAGGCATAGATTTCTGCTATTATTTTGCATTATATAAAGTAGTGTTTTCTGAACACGTAGCTATATTAGCGAGTGCTAATGTACTTTACAACTGTAGGTTAGGACCTATGCATTGCATCTGCAAGACAGAACAAACTGCTCTTAGAAGACTCCTCCTCCCCCCCCCCCCCAAATTTAGGTCACTTCACATCAGTTCGGCTGCTACTGCTTCAGCAGGTTTAGAGCTCTGGAAACAATCAGCTTTTCCACCTTCAACACACCGCAAATGGTAAAAGGAGAAAGTTTTAGATAGAAACATAACGCTGCTAGCACAAGCACGCTAGATGACAACAGGATTTACCAGAGCCAAACAAGCGCACATAATTTCATTACAAAGAATTAAGGCATGAGTTTAGCATTATTATGCAATATGGATTACAACTGATACATAATTAGCAGCAGAACTTCCAAATATGTTGAATGGTTCTGAAAGGCACAAATATGGTTTCTCTTGGCCTTTAATGACATATTCATTTGTTACAACAAAATTAATATAAAGACACAGTTCCAAAAATGTCAGCACCATAAAAAAAGGTAATACTATGTCTATATATCGTGTAGTAAGCAAAGCTTCTCACCGGCTACTTCCACAATATCACCGGGGACAATGTCTCTTGCTTTTATCCTTTGTACACTTTTTCTGTCTTGCCGGTACACTTTACCCATTTCAGGTTCATATTCCTTAAGTGCTTCGATGGCATTTTCAGCATTTCTCTCCTGCAAGAAACATTAAGAGGATTCAGAATCTCTAGCTTTTGCTACTGCAGTTAATGAAACTGCCAGCTTCCAAATCTCCCATTTATAAGATTAAGGAATCCATCTACGTTCATTCACTGACACAACCAGACACATCATGTGTCTGCAACAAGCTGAGGAAGCTGTCTGCAAAGTACCGCTGTCAAATCCTGTATAGATGGCCCTGCCTTGTGCTTTAGTTTCTTTCAAGCACATTCATTACGTACAGTCCCAGGAACAGAAGGGTAATTTTAGAGTGTTAAGACAAAAAGTTCTTTTTTTCGAAGCCATTCCACAGCAAAAACACTCCTTCAAATATTGTTATTTTTCATAGAAAAAAGACAGTACCCTATCTCTGTGTACGGCAAAGAGGACAGACCAAAAGCAGATTTCTTATACTTAATGAACACATGACTGCCCAGGAAGTTTCATCACTCAATGTTATTACTTTGCCCTTAAAATCTTCTATCTATTTTTGCAAAGAAAAGATGCTGTATGAGTTTTTCTACCTACTTTCTAAAGTAGGGTCTACCATCAATCAAACTGACAGGAATGGTATTCTACGAGGAGATGCATCAATACTTCATCACTATTTCAGATGATCATCTCCTCCATCTACGAGAATGGATTCTACAACTATATTAACAGTGATTTATGGCTGCAGTTATTTAATAAAAGCTACGGACCTTTCAGTTAATAAGATTGTCTTCTCCCAGACAGCTTAAGACTAAAATCTTGCTAAATTATTATAGGTTGCCAAACGAGAGAAGAAAAACGTTCAAGCATCCAAAATCACCAGTTCTATCACCTTCACTGAAGGTCAAATGAGAAGTATCTAAAAGTGTTTTTATCCGACCTGTACATACAAAATTGAGGAATGGGGAGAGCAACAAGTTTTGAAAACTAAATTCTATCGGCAAGGGATCCATACTGACAGGGGCTGTTATTAGCCAGAATTCTCTTCAAACATTTCATAGGCAATTAAACAAAAGTGAAAAATGGTCCCTTAAAACTTTTGCTAATGTTTTATTACCCCACCCACCACGAAAGGCATAATACAACAAAGCAATGGCAATTTAAAATTTCAGCAGCTATGAAATAAATGAACAGCAGCTCATGGATTGTAGCCCCCAGGCACATCATTAATGTCTATTAGAACTGATTTGCATACAGTTCTATCACAGCAAAGTTTACTCTACTGGAGTGCTTTGAGAACCAAGCACTCTACGTACTAGAATTCAGAATTCCAGCATGAGCCTACCCACCAGATGAACCAACTTGAAACAGCTAAGTTCCAAAAGAACATTTCCTGAATGACTATTTTTAACATTCCCTCTCTAAGGGCATGAGAGAGGACAGCATAAATTAAGACTTCTTCACTATGGAGACATCCTGCTCAAGCTTCTGTTCCAAATTTATGAATTCAAATGTTTATAGAATGTGCTATGTGTTCAGAATAGATCCGCTGTACATTCCAAACCCCCGACATATATCAATAGCCACATACCCAACAATTTTAGGCAATCTGTGAAACATGCTGAGCTGGTTAAAAGACCACATTTTTGTTTTCAGGAATACGTGAAGTGCTTGGATGTATAGCTCATGCCACCTCCTTATTGTACCCTGCTTACCTTGTCCACAGAGTTTTTCCTCCATGTTTTTCTTTTTTTGTAACCATGGCTTACTGTGATCTGATTCAAGCAAAACACTGTCATTGGCCCAATTTGGACATCATGGCAAACAACAGCCATTAAACTATTTTAAAACTTTGCCACTGAGGAACTATACAGAGCTTCTCTCCCAAGTATCCTACTGGTGAATCAATCTTATGACCCAATACTTTTGATATTTTCAGAGAACTACCAATTGGGGACAATCTGTCAATGTTTGCATTATACATCATGCATAGCATGAAAAAGGTCTTCAGACAGGGAGGGAAAATGAAGTAGCAGATTCAGACCATGTGCCCATCACTGTTGCCCTCCAGATGTGATGGATTTCAATTTCCACCAGCCTTAGACAGCACCATTTGGTCTGTACCGGGAGATAGTTGGCCACAAATGTTGTAGTTTTGGGAAGTGCAGAATCAGAGAAGCATCCACTCTTGCATGATGTATGGCGGGGGTTCTGTGGCAAAAGCAGGCAGATAAGCAATACAAACCACTGCCAAGCTCAGTTAAGCACACCTTAATCCATTTTTGCCATCAAAAATAGATTACACACTAGTATGAGACGCCAAATTCACAGGACAGTGCAAAAAACAGAACAAAACTAAGTCACACTTTTGTCAGGTGACTGAAGAATTTTCACCGTTTCTTATTCTGCACAAAACCTTAACTATGAACGGAATGGTATTCTTCAGTGTTGATGCCGGCTACTCACCCATCAACTTTGCAGTTTTAAATCTCAGCAAGTAGATTGTTCCTGATCTCAACATTTAAGACAGCAGTACAGTATTTCCATCACATTTCAATGTCCATCTTAACAGACTCTAAATTCAATTTTCAAATGTATACAAAGATTTAGAAAGCCAATGTGGTACAACGGATAGTGTTTCAAAACTAGGATTCAGGAGATCTGAGGCTCAGTTAACAAAACTCATTGGGGAAGGTGGCAATGGCAAATCACGCCTTGAATCTCTCACACACCTTGGAAAAAACCTACTTGGGTTGCCATAAGGTGAACTCACTGACAATTAATAACATGCAAAGATTTAGGCCCTTTAAAATATTATTTGGAGGAGGGAGCCTACAACTGTCTCAGTGACACCAGTAAGTCACAAAGATAAAGACTCTGAATTTGCTTACTTACCTGCCACACACCCACAATGGCATTGGCTACTAATATGAGAAGAATTACAAAAGGTTCTACAAAGGCTGTGACTGTTTCTTCACCTTCTTCAAACCAGGCCAACACCTGCAAGAGAAATGAGAGAATAAATAGCTATACCAGAAAGTCTTAACATTATATTTTCTATAACAGTAATCTCGATTTTAGCTACGCTTTACTCATGGGTAATGAAATATCCCAAGGGTTTACTGCTCCATTTTCCCAGAATCTTGCTTAGTCATTTAAGCCACACCTTAAAAGCTGGAGGCAAATGGCATTTCACAGAAATAATCGCCTCACCTACCCTTTTTCAGTTGGCTGGCTATTCTTTGGTAATCTACACACCCAAAACATTCACAAGCTAGACTTCTAGCTTTTGTTTTTGAAACCAATTACTAATGTTAAACAATGGCAAAATAAATTACAGTGACAGGCAGGGCCAAAAAGCAGCTTTTTGTTTATTAACTTTTAATAAATTAACCTCTTTCTAAGGTAACGTACATGGCGATGGGAAGGGTTACTCTTCAAAATCTGGAGACCTAATTGGTAGCCGTTGCTACAAGTTAAGATTTTAATTATTTTAAACAAAGTGTGAGATCTGAGCTGGGATTTTTCTGCTTGGCCAGCTCGCTATTTTGAGAATTAAATTGTGGTAGCAGTTATCTATGAGTAGATCAATTTCCAGGCTAGTATTATGATCTGCTGCTGATTTTCAACTCCTGTCTTCACAACACACCAATCCTTCAGACTTAAAGCCAAGCTTCATCTCCATTTATGAGACAGATACCAACTTCTGGAACCTTGAATGGTCCTGTTCTGCAGACATATCTCTGGCACAATCTGCTTCCACTCAAGGCAGATCAAGAATTAAGAGGAAGCCGATCTCTCTAATTAAAAGATCTGCTGTTATGATATGTTTGCGCTGAGATATTGTCTGGGCACTACAATCAAAACCTGAACAGCATGAACGTTAAAGGATGGAATCTCTTAACCACCTGAAGTCATTTACTCTTTTTAAATAGGTTTTTATTTCACTTTGGTTTAAAAACAAATTAAACCCTCTGAAAAATCTGATTCACCCCGGTTTGAAAAAAAGAGAATATTTTTAGAAAAAGCAATGCTGCCATCATTATGTGTAGTTTCCTTAAGATGTTGCCAAAGGAGGGATTTAGGTTTCTGACCTGACCACCACCTTAATATTTACAGAACTATATAAATACAAAGCAAGGTGTGCTGCTTATATACCACTCTCCAGGCAGTTTACAATTTAATTATGCAGGGTACATATTCTCCCCTTCCCTGCAAGCTAGGTACTCATTTTACTGACCTTGGAAGACTGAGTGAACCTTGAGATGGCTACCTGGGATTGAACCCTGGGTTGTGAACACAGTTTTGGCAGCAGTTCAGCAGTTTAATCACTATGCCACAAGGCTCTAGCTGTGCCATGGGGCTCTCCATACAAAACAAACAAACAAACAAACAAACAAAACTCTTCTCTATTCTATGGGCTCTCTCCATTAATGACTTAAAAATTAGGAACATCTTACACAGACGCAAGCCCTCAATAAGAGCGCTTCTGAGGCTACCTGCCCTGTTTTTTTTCTTCCAATGCAACTCCCTCTACTGTCTAAGGAGACAGTGAACTTTCAGAACTGGCCTCCAACAGGAAGCATAAGAAGTGACTAAGGGAAAGAACACCCAAGAACACTGAGGCCCTTTATAAATCCTCCAAAGATTGCATATACTAAATGGTGCTCTTAGTCATAGCTAAGAGCTCCATTAATAATGGCATCTTCAGTTCTTACAAGTAATCTATAGCCAGTCGGAAGCCTTTGTAGTCACAGCATTTGTTACAGAAGAAAAGAGCTACTTCTATGTCCAATCTATTGAGCAACGGGAAGTACAAAGCAACTGACAACGCATGCTGAAACCTTTCCTGCTTGGAATTCAGTCAACAGCGAGCTCGTAACAAGATTCTTCTTCTGAAGGAGGTGGTGGAAAGAGAGAAGAGAAGCACGAAAATGGAGTGGAAAAAGTGTAGTCCTTACACAATGCAATGCCAAGGGCAGATGATGCCCTTTCCTGAGCCACTTAAAATTAAAAAAAATTTACTCTTTTTCAACACAAAACACATTTCTCTATTACCTTCCCCACTACCACCAAACAGAAACTTTGTTTCAAAAGGCGGTGGTAAATGCAAATTATTGGCGGCCCTTCATTAGAGCAGTTGGGAGACAAAATCCAACTACCACGGGTAATTTGAAACCTACACACACCCCAGGCATTTGCAATCTGCATTTTTAGTCTCACTTTTAAGAAACATACAAGCACAGACATCGGTCAAGATTTTTGGCTCTCTCATACATATTTTTCTGCATTATCCACAACATATCGCTGTGGAGCCTGATGAAGACTGGTTTAGGTCAAAAGCTAGTTCTTTGTCTAAGAAAATCCAAGTTCTGCTTTCTAATAGTATGCTGGGAAACAGCTTTCCAAGCAAACCCACAAGTTGTAGGAAATTGAGAATAGGGCAATAGCAATTGAGAAACAACTACAGTATGACTTATGCTATGGTAAAATACTACAGGTGAAACTCCTCAAATCCCACAGTTCTCCAGCTGAATGTTGAAACTTTGGTGTTAAGACACTGTGTTCAGTGTTTTAGAACACAAGTTCTAACATTTAAGTGGACCTCTGATCTCTTCTGTGAAATAAAGGACAAGACAGAACCCTTGAATTCAAGTACTGGTGTAGGACAGACTAAGGATAAACACATATTTTGCACATTATTTCGGCTAGCCTTCTCATTAGCAGCGAAAACCAGTGAGTTGGCAAGTGGAAGAGAACAAAAGGGAGGGGGAATCACACCCATAAAACAGCATTATAGAGATAGCTCCAAAAACACCACTTCTGAGAGATCTGAAGGATATGGTTGAAAGAATATATGTAATAAATGACTAATAACATTTATTCTAATGTGCCCTGTCCAGAAAAATCTAGAAGAACAGCCAAATACATGGTGCAGCACAGAAGCACACAAGTCCAGGATGCAAATTCGCTTTAAAAATTAATACTGGCTTTTTAAAATGGCCACAACTACAACTTATGATTAGCCACTTGATGGAGCTCCAGTCCAAGTGCTACAGCTAGAGACCACCACTCGAGATAGTGTTATTGAAAAGGACTCAAATGATCTCCACAAACATATCTGGCAATGGAAAAGCAGCACCAGTTACCAATTTTGAACATCTGCCCTTTATCCGTATATAGCATAAATGAAATGGGAAAATTCTTTTCCAGTGCACAGCCCATTCTATCTGAAAGGGCTGAGAAGCACAGCAGCCGCCAGCCCCTAACCAGGGAAGATCTACGTTCACGAAAAGCTGCAGACTTTTAAAAACAGCTTTCTCCGCAATATACAACACAGGTAACAGCGGCCAAGAACACATGTTACTAAGTGACCTTAAAGTCAATGGAAAGGCCTTCTCTGTTTGAAAAATGCTCCATTCTAAGCATCTGGTAAAAATTTCATAACACAATTCATCTTTTTAATCTGTAACCTTAGAGTTTAGAAACCTGTTCTGCAAAATGAGAACTTGTGTTCTCATATTCTTCAGGCGCTGCCATACTTATTTTTGATCACGTGCTCACCAAGATAAAAAGCACTGATTATTATACTCACTGTTCTACTCTGAAAAGGAAGTGCACTTTCCATTTTGACAATTAAGTTAAACCCAGTGGAAGTGGGTAGAGTTATGCCATTGTGAAAGGTTTTAAAAATGGACTGTGTAGGTTACATGATAAATCATTTCTTTATCAGATAAATACAACCAAAACCTATGCCATTGTGGGCAATTTTGGCAGGCCTGGGGACAAATGTTCACAAAGGCCCCACCAGGAACAGGCAAAAATTGTATAACAGTGCCAGTGATCAAAACTGGAAGAGTCTAGGTGGGCAACTCAGGTTTTTAATTTGTGAGGAGTGTTACAGAGAAAACATCTTTGCTCTTTAAAGCAAACAATCCCTGTTCCTGGAGGTCTCCAGAAGCGGAAAAGCCAAATTTCTTCCGATTTAAACAAAAAATGTTCTGAGGGCATCAGGGGTTTAGGAGCCCTCAAAACTGGCCTTGGGAAGCACCTTGCTCCCAAACGTGGTTGTCATTTGAGTCTTCTCATTCCTGCATTTACAGCTGCAAACCTCTCAGTTCTTGGTATTTTTCATGACGTAGTTAAACTAGCATTCTCCCACGTAAGACCCTTAAGAACCTGCCAGTCCATCCTCCCTACAGGGAGTCCTCATCAGACTACCATTATTTCTCTCAACCATTTATGCATTTTGTGAGTACCTATGAGTTTTACCAGAACATCATGTTTCATATGGCTTTCAAAAGAAAAGGCCAGCAATGCCACTGCTGTTTGAAAAGGTCATTACACTCACCACAAACAGGTACAAACGTCCTACTTATGTATTACAGCTCACATTCCAAAAATACAATTCAGGGCACATCTAATCATTTGATACTTAATATACAGATTTTATATTGCTTAAAATTATTTCATTCCCATTCATTGTTGGCAGCAGCCAAGACTATAATCAGGGAACATGGAAAGGGAGAACAGACACCGAAGTAGAAAAAGAAAGGTAAAGACCAGATGCCATCAGAAATGGCACAGGTGAAGGAGGAGGTGGCATAGGTGGTAACAGGCAGAAAGATTAGTGTAGGGCTGCTCTGCTATTCAGAGGCCCTACAATCTTCTCTACCCTGTTTCCCTGAAAATAAGACCTAACCTGAAAATAAGCCCTAGTATGATTTTTCAGGATGCTTGTAATATAAGCCCTACCCCAAAAATAAGCCCTAGTTAAGTGGAACTCTGCCCTCCACCGTTGTGCAGCAACCAGAAGAAGATGACGTGACTGCATTTGAATAAACGTAGATTGTGCATAAAAAAAAGCCTCCCCTGAAAATAAGCCCTAATGGGTTTTTTTTGAACAAAAATTAATATGAGACCCTGTCTTGTTTTCGGGTAAACAGGGTAAAATTTGGAAAACTATCACTAAATGCTCTGGATGGTGATAGTTACGTCTT